TAGAGAAATGGAGGGAGGCTCAGCCCCCACCCATCTCAGCATAACTTCATGTTTTTGTTTTGTTGCATATAAATATTTTGCACTACCTCACATTATAAGCCCTTCACTGTCAGCTTGTGGTACTACTTTTTAATACTTTTACAACATTGCTTTTATCGTATTGTGTTCTATTGTTTTCATGCTGTTGTAACACAGTAATTTCCTTTGCGGGTTCAATAAACTGTCTGTCTTATTGGCTTGTTATGTAGGCCCAATTAGCTGATATGTGCCTGTGTATTGCACTCATACAGTTTGTGAATGAATCAAGCTTAGCATTAGCTCCTAACTGTAACCATAATAGTCAAAACACAAATGTTAAAGGTTAAAAATGTCCAGTCCAAAACCACTGTGTGATCTCAAGGTGGCTATATGCATCTTTCATACCATCTATGCACATCTTTGCACACAGACCTCAGCCTTTTCATGATACTTACCAGCCTTAGTCCTGTTGCCAGGTATTTCACTTCTTGGTTGATGAAGCAACTGAGCTGGAGCTGGCTTTCCTTGCCCTTGATTGGTTCCTCCTCCTCAGACTCTGTGCATTTCATGCTGAATAGTAGAGTTAAGAAGAAGCCCGGCTCATTAATGTTTCACCTCTAGATTTTATCTCATTACCAACAACTATGAAAGAACAGTGCAGTCTTTTAAAGTGAAACTTATACTTGTGTGTGTGTGTGTGTGTGTGTGTGTGTGTGTGTGTGTATATATATATATATATATATATATATATCTCAAGTATTAAAGTGCACAAAGATTTGATTGACAAAGACAGAAGGATACCTAGTTTCAAATTCTACACCAAAATACTGGTCGATGAAGTTCTTCTTTGCAGAGGCAGAGGCAGCTCCACCCTCAGATTCAGTCTGAAGATTAAAAATAACAAAATTTTCTCATGAATTTATGAGACAGCCATAATTAGATTACAAAATAACAGATTTGGTGGGGGTTTTAAGCATTACCTCCATGGTAGTCTCTGGTTCTAGTGGCTCCAGCTTTTGCTGAAGCACTCTCATCATCTGCAGCCAACATTCATTGGCATCCTGAATAAACAACAAAGCACAATAAATGTCATGAATTTGCTGCCATTATGAGACTGAGTTAAAGACACGTCACATGGCTAATCAAATTTAACAACGCAGAACCATAATTAAGAGTTTTTCACCTGCTGGAGGTACTGCCCCTGATCCCCCTTCTCAGCAAACTGTGGAAAGGCCATATGGAGGAACTGCAGCAAAATAATGGGAGGGAGGCTGGACGAGGTTTTATCCATAGTCTCATATAAATCACGAAGGGCTAAAAAACAAAGAAACCATTTTATTTGTATCAGTAAATTCACGACATTAATATGTCTATTTTTTGGCATGCTTCACACCTGCTGTGATGTACTGAGATGGTGCATTTGCCCCTGAAGATCGCAGAGCACCTGAATACCTGTAGCGGGAGAGTGATGTGAGGTGAACGGCAACTAAAACCAGTGGTGGTGAAATTATTCGTAATGATCTGAACACGTCACCGACAAACAGTAATAGCAGTAAAAATGACCTCCTGAGTGCAGTTTTGAGCTCTGGCACAGAGCGTAGACACTGCACTGTGGCGTTCATGTAGCAGGTGTTGCCCAAGTTCGTCAGTCCACAAGGCAGCTCCATCTGACAATGACAACATTCACAGTGGCATAGGTTCATCTCAAGGTATAACACTACGTGTAGGTAAGGGATACATAAATTTAGTTTCATTGTAGATCTGGGACTGTGCAGAAGGGACAATACAGAATCAACACATTACATTGAGTCCACTTCTTCTTTATCAAGTATGGTCATCTGATCTGTTCTAGATACATAAACTGTCTTTTTTTAAAAGCTCAAATTTGTTGAACTCTGTCCTTTCAATTCTTTTGGCGCGTCCAATTTCAGAAACGTTAATAAGTTCACACGTCAAACTCTATGAACCACTAAAGAGGCTTTGCTCATTTCTTTAATTTGTTCTTCCCTCCTGCCTGTGACCAAGACATCAATCTCAGTACTTCATGTTGCTGGAGGAGCTTTAATAAAAGACGCACAAGTGTATCCTTTTTAGGAAGTACTAAATAAATAAGTAAATATAATTCAGAGCAGCCCTAAACATAAACAAATATAAAGAACACTTGCTACATCTGAAAGTGTAAAATACAGTTGCACTATGATGCAGTTGTGCCAAACATGAGATTTGAATAAAATCTCCTTAAAAATGGGGCTCCAGAGGATGCATCTCTCTCTCTCCCTTTTTTTTTTTAAATGGCTGTTTTATCCACCAACTTCTCTCTCCTCATGTCTCTTCCTCGCCAATTCTGCTCACATCCCTGATGAGAGGAACCGAGGATCCACAGATGAACAAACTCATAATGAGAAAGCGGGTCTTTTGTTTGCCCATTTCCATCTTAAAGACATTTACCCAGTATTTATCATGTGGAAGTTTGTAATTCATACTGTATTTTGAGTCTGCTGCATATTTTCTCTTCAGTAAATAAATTATAAATTCATTACTACACCAAAACACCTAGCTTGCAAATGTCTCACTGAGCCACACACACAAAAAAAAGTTTTTAGTAACTAAATGATTCTGCACATTTAGTTTACCATTTTATACTTTATACTCAGTACATGAAAGCCCAATTCAATCAATCACATCCACACTAAAAGCTGTAATTGTTATATTTGTTCACCCCACAGTGGTAATTTTCAGGATTACTCACCGCTGAGGCCAGCTGCTCCTCAGTCATGTCCTCTACAAACATGGGTCGGACTGCAGGCTCCTCAGGTAGGGCATCTGCTGAGCCCATCATCAGCAGGGTCATTCCCTTCAAAAAGCAGAGAAATATTCATTTCAGTAATTTATGTGAAAATTTTGTGATGAAGCTCCCGTAAAAAACCACTTGGTATATGCGGTACTCACATTTTTCAGCTTAATATTTCCCCACTCGTCATCCTAGAATTCAGATAAAACATTGATTAGCAACCTTAAAATGGATAAGGTTTACTCATCTTACCTTTAACTTTACCTTATTTGTTTCAAAACAAATGAAAAGACAAAACCAATCCTATAATTAATCAAAAAGTCCCTTTCATTTTTGTAAGAGCCATAGCACAACCTTGAAACTGAACCGAAACTAAGCATGTTTAAATTAAAGGAACTATATGCGCTGGTGTGGTTCTCTGAGGATCTCCTTTTCTAGATTTTGGATGTTTATATTAGTACCTTGAGAGTGCCTCCCTTCACCATGACCTTCTGTCTGTCTGGCTGAACTCCTGTCAGGGCAAAGAGCTGCGCCTTGAACACCATGGGTGGTTCCTCAGTGTTGAGCTCTACTGCATCAAACTTCTCTTTGCCCCATTTCACATTTACTGAAAGAAACAGAAGCACTCAGTGTCAACATATTAGCCTTTCCTGGTTTGGGAAACAGTGACATGACACAGCACCTCCTTAGCATCAGGGTAAGTGCTCCAAGGAATAAGGCACCCGGTTAGTCAAGCTGACTGTCGGTGAATAAACACAAAGTGGGAGCCAACAAATATGCAGCAGTCTGAATGTCTATGAACCGTAATAAAGGCGCTCATTGGCGATTATAGAAATCAGTATAAGATCACTGACACAAAGAAAACAAACTGAGTGATCGCATGTCTTCAAGACGCAGTTGGAGTAAAGACGTATAACTGTACACTATGATTTAGCTAGCTTTGTTAGCAATGCTATCCTTTATAGTAAAAGGCACAAGTGCTCCCAATTCTGCTAAAAAATTTATAGGGAAATGTCTTCAGCGAGTAAAACCACAATTAAAGTGGTGACATTGCGGTGAGAATCAGTAGCTTTACATAATTAGTTAACTCACCTTACTTATTACCTGCTAACTGGGTAACTAAGCTAGCTGACAGCAGCAGACGCTCAGTTAGCTTGGACAGCTTTTTCACGTACTCAGTAAATAACGTTAACAAACAGCAAGCCGGATACAGTGGTGTAACAATTCTGTGCGCTTCCCTGTTTCAAAAAAGTGTCTTCTGAAATAACTCTACCACTAGTCTAAGAACAAGATGCTGTCAAGATAGCATGCTAACGGTTGTAGGCTAAATGCAAATCATGCTACACACAGCTAAGCTAACATGCTAATGTAATTTAAAACTAAAAACACGTGTAAGGGTTCCCGTTTTTAAAGTATTTTCTCCTTGGTGATAATCATGCTGTATTAAAAGTACTTTACCTGTAAACACCGGCATATTTAGAAACCTTTAATATCCTCAACTCGCTATTTTTCCTGTTTCGGTCCACTGGGGCGCGTATGAAGAGTTGCTAGTTCTCGGACTGAACTTCATTCAAACAGAATGACGCTGCAACAACACGCTGGGAACTTATCGATGCGCTCCGACATCTGCTAGTCGCCCTGCTGGCCTGCAGCAACATCCGAGATACACACACCCAGATCATTCAGACTTCTTTAATTACAGTATTTATAAGGCTGTAACTACACGGATTTCCAAGTGTGAGTGAATGATAGTTATCTCACAGCAAAGAGTGCACTGCTCTCACTGTGACACCATAAATAGACCAACTTTGGGGATGGAACCCCTTTGTTCCTTCCACTCCATATGATTAAAAAACACCAAGTATTTATTTTTTTTTTTTTAGAATATAAAAGCACAAAACTACAATTAATTGTGCCGCTATAGTTTAGTGATTAAGCAGAAGACCAATATGGTGAACCCTTGTGCAAAGGCCTGGGTTTGACTCCACAATAGGACATTTCCTGCATGTGTGCTCTGATGTCCTGTTCAAAATAAAAGTGAAAAAGGCCCAAAAATAAACCTGGTGAGAATAAAAGTGTCAAGATTAGCAGAATTAAATTAGCATTTAAAGATGTGTTTAGGGGTCCTTGAATCTGTCCCAGCTGGCCTGATACAAAAACATAAATGACATCTAAAGTGAAAACTACTATACAATTTATGACAGAGATATGTTTATTGACATATCCATCAGTGCGGATTCCAATGCAATTTAACCATGCAAATTATCCAAGACACGAGTAGATCATAGTTCCAGTGCTTTTTGTTTTTAACTGAACAAAACGTTACACATAAAAAGACTGTGGAGGTATTCCATAATCCTTATGTCTCTCTCATATTATACACTGTGGGGGTGTTTGCATTAGCGGGACATTACCATGTTAGAGAAAATGACTTGCAATCGAGGACAATCATTGACACGGGCTTGTTTTTAGATACATCCTCCTCAAATTTATGATATGAACCAAGAACGGGGACTTTGTTTTTACACAAACTCTATTGCTATGTGTTCATAAAGAGGTAATCTAATATATTTATTTATATATATAATTTTTTATATATATTCAAACCAGACAAAGCAAGTTCTGATAAAACCACACACTTGTGGCAAATTCTTAAAAAATAAATGATGGAAGAATTCAGATTTGTCTTGTTTCAACAAAAAAAAAAAAAAAGGAAAGAAAAACATATGGCAGTAAAATCAATATCCAAACGGTAAGGCACTAGGTGGGCCAAATGCTACACCTGTTTAGTCTTCTACAAATAATTTACAGTCAAGTCAAACAGTGCAGTTTTACATTTGTTAACTTAATGTTTTCCTTTTGAACCACTTATCTATGAATCAATGTAAGGCAATACATTACAAAGAAAAAATACACTGAATACACAAAAAAAAAAAAATATTACAGACAATGTACCAAATAAACAAAAAAAGTTTTAGGACTCCTATATACCATTACAATGGAATTTTCCTTATGGCTTGGAGCAATAAAAATAATTATAATAAAAACAATGCATAGATTTAAATGATGATCTTGCATGCTCCTCACTCAATACTCAAAACATCTAATACTCATGTCCCAATACGTTGTCCCAAACCTGATATAACTGACTTGCAGAGTGATAAGAATAAAGGCAAAAAGGCCAGAGACGTTAGATGAAGGCATCAGTCATTAAAAAAAACAACAACAACAACAAAACCAAAACAAAACAAAAGCATACTTGCATTAAAGCCCACGTTATCCGACAGGTGGGGGAAAGAAATTACTAAATAGATATCAATTTTCCGCCCCTGAGACACAACCTTTCGCCGCAGATCTGCAATCCCTGTATGACAGTACCTTAAACTGAACACATACATGCAGCAGTCCCAGCAAAACCCCCTTTTACCTTCCAGTTTCCATTCCAACTCTCACATGATATGAAGCACAGGATGTCTACATGACAGGAGTCCCTCTCTCCCTCTGTTGTCCATCTTTAGATCAAGACGTGTGCGCCATCTTCTGGTGAAAACGTAGAGCTGCAAGTTTGCTGAGTTGGTCAAGTGACTCCCTCCCCTTGTATCAGGCTTTTTTAATGTCCACGATGCCTTGTGTCTGAAGTGTGTTGCAATTTCTCCAGCGTTGGTTATTTGTCAATATACATATATTTTTTTTTAGCTTTGTTTTTTTTTTGTTTTTTAATGAATTATCTATGCAATACAGTTTCTTTCCATTTTTGAGGATGAGGAAGGAAGGGAAAGTTTAGAGTCCAGAGAAAAATCCCAACGGTTCAGATGGTTAGCTGAAAGAAGAAGAGAGACAGGTGTCCAGTAAAAGAAAGGCCTTTTCAAAATAAAATAAAAAAACCTTCGTTAGTAACCCAGTCTAACAACAGAAACAGAAAAGCTGGCTTACAGACACTATAACACCTTTTCATGATGTTTGACCAGTAATGTAAAAATCCTGAATATTGGTCTAATGAGAGTTGCCATGTAAGAATATGAAGTTAGTAACTGACCCCAACAACACATTAGTGCCAATTAGAAAATCCCAAGTGTCAACTGCACAGAGCCCAAGAGTCAACCAAGCAACCAGGAAGTGTCTCTTGAGTTTGAAACACCCAATAACACAATTAATAAATAGACAAGTTTAAAGTCATAGAAAAAAGTCTGTTTTTTAAAAACGCACACACACACACACACAAAAAAAACTTTCTGAAGAAGTTCCTGTCAACAAGTGCTCGATGTTGTGTCTGCTGCTTGGAGGGTGGACTGCGCTCTGCTACAACACAGGAGACAAACAGCAGGTCACATGACTGACTTGACCACATCTCAGCCCACAAGATGGGTTTGAGGAGAGAGAGAAAAAAAAAGGCTACTGACTGCAGCACACCCTGACTGACTGCCTGAAGAGAAAAAATACTCACGTTTTATCCCAGTTATCTAAAGTTATTTCACCATTAGTGAAAATATGTAAACGCAATCTGAGTTAATAAATAAATACAAATAAGGTCTGACGAGATGGGTTTATTTCAAAGTTATCAAGTTACCTCAGCTTTCCTGTATTGCTTTTAGGGTTCTTGCGGAAGGATTGGTTGGGTCCAGAGCGAGTGGACATGGACCGCGGCGAGGCTCTTGTGAATGTCGACGGCGGGGTCTTGGGAATCTTCTTTCCGAGGTGGCCGATCCATTTCTTCTGCTCGTCTTGGGTCAGAGCCAGCAGCAGCATGTCCCGGGCAGAGGTCACGTCGTAGTTTACTGGACAGGATGACACAATCAAGCCTTAAAAACATGACCTCGAACTATCCAAGTCCTCCAAATGACTTTGTTTACACATTAGCAGATGTGTGGTACAAAACCTGATCGTGCCAGTGGTTTCACACTATTTCACTGATGAACAAGTGGCAGTGACGTGTCAACATAAGCTGGAATTTGCCAAGGGAGGACGAAACAAGGATGTAAACAACGCAGGATTTAAAATACTTTCTTTCAACAAAAAGGCCTCAAGGATATAAACAATGTTTATATGACTGATACTGAAATTAAACAACAACAAGAACTCCCTTAGAAACCTCTGAGTTTAGCTGCAACAATAACCAATTTGTCCTGTTTACTTTGAGTATCCCAAAATGCTTCGTCAGTGAATTCCAACTTAGAGCCTGTACATAAACTAGAAAACACCTTCAAGGATTTATAGATACGGACTGTTCATTGTCTTAAAATGCTCGTGATACCAGCTTAGCCTGCAGAGATAAGAATTTGTGTTTTACCTTTGCAAGGAGCAATAACATCCTCCTTTTTGTCGAGGTGGTCCTTGTGGCACTTCACGTGGCAGCGGCGACACTCCAGGGCCGGAGGCGGCTTGAAGACGTGCCACAGAGGCTTGGCACAGGCCTCGCAGTTTGAAGGGAAGTGATATAACGTGGGGATGAACTCGTGGCCTTTGTGTGGGAGACAGTTGGTCTTGTCGCCCTGAGGGACTGTCTCTAGATCCGCCTCCTTCCTGCACTCTCCCTCATTAGCATACAAAATCTGAATAGTTAGAGAGAGATAGACAGGGCCTCGTTTCTGTGGCTGAGCAAACTCTATTCATGACTGCATGGAAATGTGAACATAAAAATAAAACTGCACATTAAAAAAACAACAACAAAAAAAAGCCTACCTGGAAAATCCTTGGAATCTCATCAGTCTCAGCTCGGTACACATCTCCTTGCGTGACTGGCCTCACATGAAACAGTTTGCTACACAAGAAGGTAAAAAAAGAGGAGAAATCCATTAACCTTTGTTACTTGTTTTCTTCTCTACATTTTTCAAGAAGACCGAGCTAGCAAGAAGAAGACGCCACAAAGAAAAACACTTACTCGATATCCAGTACCATCGAGGGGTTGGACTGCTCCTTATCCTGCTCGTCATTGTAGAACAGAATCTTCTTACTACTCACCACCACATACTGCAAATGTTGCAGAGACAAATGAGAGGGTTGGTGAAACCTCTTTCTGCATAATGAAAAATGTGAGCGAGCAAAGGAACCGTGCGACACACACCTGCTTCTTCCATCCGTATCTTTTGATGTTAGCACGATTAGGAATAGACAGCCAACCCTCCAATCTGGACTCTGAAAAGCAGCAAAGAAGAAAAACATGAAAAGAAAAATTCTGCGCAAGTATTTAGAGACACTAGATGAAGGCCATGCAGCAAATCAGGTCCAAACTCAACTGGGGAGAAAAATAAAGAACAAGTCAATAAATAAATGAATAAATAAATAAAACGCTGGTGAACTCCTCGGGAGTTTGCCAGCGTTAAGGTTAAGTACACTGGAGTAGGTGACAAGAGAAGACTGTAGCTATCCCAGGCTGCAACTTCACACACCCATGCAAGAAGAGAATATTAGTATGAGTAAGGCCTTCTTATAGCATGCTAAGAGAGCATGTAAGACTGCAAAAGTATGTTAAAAATCCTGATGTAGTATTTGTGCAGCTGGAATTCAATTAGCTTGATCACTCGCTCCTTTCACAGAAACAAATGTGTGTTATCTTTATTCAAAAATGAAATCATAAATGCAAGTGCATGCAGCTGAAACAACACAATCTAAACAGGTTCAGTAGGGAAAAAACAAAAAACAAAAAACAAAAAAGTGGGATTTGTCTACTACATGTGAGATCGTGAGGGAGGTCTTCGTGTCCAAACGAGCAGCGATTTGTGGTGAGCATGCCGACACAGACACAAGGGTGTTGCGTGTTTGAAGAACACGTTTGTTCCAGTGTTTGGAGACATTTAAAAGGTGCTGAGAGTGACGCGGCAGACCTCACACCGGGTGTTGTGTCAGTAAACTTTGTTCTAATTTGGCTGCTTCACTGCTCAGGTCGGCCTCGTGACATTAAACAAATTCACTCCCAGCGCTCTCTCTTAATATCTCGTCACTGTTAGTCATTACATTATTTTTTTCTCCTCTAGAGCTGATTCACTCCCCACACTCTGACAGGCTTCTTTCAAAAGTGCTGTTGAATTCTCCCAGCAGATATGGCCGTCACACCTCTGGCAAAACAATACTTGAGAAATTGGGTGGAGGGGAAAAAAAACAAAAAAACAAAAAACTACAGTACACACACATACAACAGCAGCAACGCAGGCCGGGCAAAAAGGGGCTGATTCACCGAGTTACTCACAGAGGAAAAGGAATGGAAGTTACAAAGATAAGAAGAGCAAGGAGAACCAACTGGGCATGAGGGAAATAAAGAAGAGATTGATTTAACCACAGCTACCAACAAACATGAAAACAGCCAGCACAACATATATTCATACACATGTTAGATGTCATTTAAGAAGGTGATGCATTAGAAAGAGAATTAAGTGAGTCAGTACAGCTGCTTCCCTGCCTTCTAACACCTTACTGTACTAAACTTAAACTGCTTGGAAAAAAATCATTCACATGATGCTCTAAATACAGATTCAGATCTTTTGGCTCACCAACTAAAAACAACACATTTAAAAGAATAAAACCTGAAAGGGAGACTTATTTTAGACGAGACAAAAGTCAAATGTGTCAAATAAACCAAAACAAAAATCATATTCAGAAGGTTATACTTGAGGAATCGAGTCCTCGTGGTACCTACGCTAACTGACACAAACAAAGTCAAGTTAAGTTTTCAACCAAGTAAAATCCCACACCGCATAACTTCGTCACCAGATCAAAGTTCACGAGTGTAGGTTTATTTGATTTTTAACTGTCACTGTGATCGATAAAGGCAACAGCAGCTGTGACGGGCTGGGAACATACCTGCGATATTACTGTCCGTCTCGTCTGTCTGCAGGCTGGTGACGCTGGAGTTATCCATGCGCTGCTGCAGGTCGTTCAGTTTCTCCCGGAGCTGCTCGATGTCGCTCTCCTTGCTGTCCAGCTGCATCTGCAACTCGTTGCGATACGTGCTTTCCTCTGCCAATTGCTGGTGGTAGGAAGGTCAAAGGTTAAAACCAAATAATAGTCCACAGATCATCATACTGGGCCGCAGCGCAACCAGACGTTCACGTACCGCCTGCATCTCGCTCAGCTCCTTCTGGTATTTGATGGCCATGTGGTTAAACTTTTCCTTCTCCTGATTAAGCTCCAGCTGAAGCTTGCGGTTTTCCTTCTCCTTTTTCCGCAGATCAGCTGTGCTACCCTTCTTCTTCTGGTCCAGCTTCATGTCTTTACGATTCATGATCTCTGCCAGTTTGTTCACCGCCTGACGGATGGAAAAGACCGAACAGTTGAACACATCGGCCGCATCTCTCCACTTGTTTACAGGAACAGTATGGAGTAACTTCTCGAAAAGTAAGAGGCTCTTACCTGAGTCTTCAGTGTGCGCTCTGTGTAGAGGATCTTCTCGTAGGTGGCCTTGGTTGATTTTTCAATTTCTTCCTTCTGAGCGACATATTCTGAGAGAGACAAGGGGAATAAGCTTGTACATCGACATTAATTACAACGCGGAGATGTGCGCATCATGAAAGGCACAGTACCTTCATCCTGAATACGAAGCTTTTCACTTAACTCCGTCTTCTCTCTGCTGAGATTCTCCACATCTTTGGTCAGAGTTTTATAGGATTCCTCAAGCTGTGCAAAAATATGAAGATGTTTATTTTCTCTACTTTAAGTTAACAGAATTAGAAATTGAGCAATGAATATGAGTGTGGGAATAAAGAAAATGCTGTCAGTGTGTGTTTGAAGGCTCACCCGTGCAATAGTAGCCTCTTTCTCCCCAATCTCCTGCTTATGCCTTGTCACTGCTTTCTTGTTCTCTTGGCTGAGCTCGAAATACTGCTCCTCCTGAAGCGCCCGAGCAAGCTGTTCTGACTCGGCCTTGGTCACTGTCAGATCCAGCTGTGCAGACAAGGAATCCCTGTGTGCAGGAAAAAGGAAGTTTGATTTTAAAAAAGAAAAAACCTCATCACTTGAATTTTCCCCTCATCAAACAGCAAAAGCTGAAAGAAATGAGGAATACTTACAAAAGGTTAAAGGTTATTTAGATATATAAGAAGGCTGCAATATGCATGAGGAGAACCGAGCCTCTTACCTTTCGTTGCACAAATCCTGCACCTTCTTATTAGCCTCCTGTATCTGCCGGTTCCTTTCCTCAATCTCCTCTTTTAGTTCTTTGACCTGAGTTTTGTAAAGCGTCTGAGGGAGAAAAAAACGAGATTAGCTGGAGCTTTTCACATTAAATGAGCACGACAGAGAAACTGTGACATATACTCACAGAAAAATACTGTTCAGCCTCAAGCTGGTCCTGAAGTTCCCTCATCTGTCCCTCGTTGCCTCTGTACTGTCTGTTAGCACGCCAAAACAAATATGTTAGATGTTTGATTTTTTTTTCTTTAGTAAATCCAACATGTATAATATTTTACACAGCAACCAAAACACTTCAGCCAGGAAAACAAAAAAGAGACCTGACATCTTAATTCAGCCTAGTCAGCCGACGCAGTAGAGCAAACTAGCCAGAGGATTAGCAATCAAGTAGATGGAGCTGGACTGAGAGTAAACGCTAATCCTGTGGTGTAAACACTGTAGCAGAACAGCTTTGAGAGTCACGCTCTAAGCTGGAATAACAGCACTTTTATGAAAATAGGAGGGAATTATAGGGCAATTTACACCCCGACTTCCAAGGAGCATTACTGGCCAGTGCAGCAGTAAGAGAAAATAAGCCCTCCTGGCTACAGCTACTGCCAGTTTGTTTCCAGGTTAAATTAACTGACACAATGGTGCAAATGCCCCATTTCATGTATATATAACTATTAATCATCAATTTTATCTCCATCATATTTGATAATGTTTAAGGCTCTATAACTAGTGAGCAGACAACATGGATAACATTTTAAGAGAAAAACAAACATTGAGTTTTCTAACTAAAAGGTGAAACTTACTTGGACAGCTGTGCCAGCTGAAACTCCAGTGAGCGTTTACTTTCCAGTGATGTGTTGATCTCTTGTTTGAGCTGTTTCTCTGAACACCTAAGACGGTCCATCTCCTGCATGCGGGTCTTCAGGTCGTTCTGAATCTGGATGCGTTTGCTTGACTCCTGCTCTACCTGAATCTGCAGATTCTTCACCTGGAGAAGAACGAGAGGGCGGGAAAGAATTCTAGGAATCACGGCACTGAAAGAAATAAAACGACACACAAAACTCCATTGTGAGGATCGCTCAGTTACCTCATCCTCCAGCCGTTCCTTCTGCTTCATCAGCTGCTCCATTTTCTGCACAGACTGCTTAAGGTCAAACTCCAACATTGAGCACTGCTTCTCAACCTCCACCACCCGGCTCTCTGCCCTCATCCTTGCTCCCGTCTCCTCTGACATCTTCTGCTGGACAGCTGGAGAACATATTTGAAAAAGCAGTTAGTGTAATGGCTGTTTGGTTTTCGGGGATAACTACCATTTAACAACTCTTCAAGTTCACTTCAGATAATATATGCAGGAATGAGGGAACAGAAAGACGGCAACAGGTTTCAACTGGCGTCTGTTCAAAGCTCGAAGATTGCATAGAGACATTTGATACAGAAAAGCTCATTTTAATTTTTTCTTTTTTGTATGTATCACCAAGCTGAGCCGTCTGGGTGAATCTTTTGCTGTATCATTCTATTGCAAAAAAAAACCCTGAATATGCAACAAGGCAATGTCCTAACACGCTCATTGCTTTGCACCATGAATTCCTCTCACCGAAAACAGAACCTGGAGGTGACTTCTTATAAGATAGTAGAAAATAACCATGACGCAGAGAGAAAAGGTAATAATATTTGAGACAAATAGAACAGTCAAAGCAAAAAAAGAATCTTAATGATTTGAATTAGAGGGGGGGAAACACAAGAAGTGAAGCAGGGCATGAGCGCACGTAGGCCTGACATACCAGACATGGCAGCTGATTTGGCTTCTTCGATAGACTCGTATTTGTCAGTGAGCTGTGCCCGCGTCACCCTGTGCTCCGTCTGTTCTTGCTCCAGACGCTGCTGCAAGGTCTTCAGTTTGTAATTCAGGTCTATCTCCAAATTGTTCTTTTCCTGTGGCGAGGGAAAACAACAAAAGAACACAACAACAAAAAAAATCAAACAACTTGCACACGTCTACAAATTGGATGCACAAATACCACTCAGTGTGACATGCATACCTTCTCCAAATTATTGCTTCTTTCCTGGGCCTGTTTGCGTTCCGCCTCCATCTTGGACAGACTAAGCTTCAAGTTTTTGTTATCCTCCTGCAACCCCGACAATCTCGCTAAGAGTGAAAGATAAAGGCAGACAGTTAAGACATGAAGCTGGGTTTTTTCCTCTTTTTTTTTTAAAGCCTTTTAAAGTAATTATTTCATACCAATTCAATTCTACTTTGGACTTTTAAATATGTATTTTAACTGTATGGTAACACTTGCTTTTTCAGTTATCAATAAGTGAAACTGTAATCTGGTCGAGCTATCGCAGATTTCACTTGTTTTCGAAGTGATATATCAGTGTCACCTTGCAGCTCCCTGATCTCCTCTGAGTCCTGACTGTAGTTCCTCCGTTCAGAGTCCAGGGTGCTCTGTAGAAGCAGGAGCTCCTTCTCCAGCTGCGCCTTCTCTCCTTCTACTGCGCGGCTCCTCTCCTGCAGCTCACGGTTCAAATTCTCCAAATGTGCCATTGACTTGGTCATCTCTGTGTGGCTCTTCCTCAGTCTCCCCGCCGTGTCTGACTCTGCACGCAGCAAGTCGTTGGCCTCTTCCAGCTGTCAATCCAAAATAAAAATTAAAGAAAAAAATCCAACACAAAGGGAGGGAAAAAACATTTAATGTTTTGTCCTTCAGTTTCCAGAGTGTGCATGCATGTGTCTTCTGTATACCTGATTCTGAAGCTGGGTAATCTTGTCATTTGAGGCTTGCGAGTTCTGACTGATTTTCTTCATATCTTCCAACTGCTCCTTCAAATTTGACACTAAGGGGAAATAAAGGAAATAAAGAATAAGAAAAAAAACTCAATCAACCTCATTTAAGCTCCTCTTTCCAATTACAGCAGAGTTAGATTTAGTTTCCCCAGTATAAATTATTTTATGTCAGCAGCCTAGAGCCAACACACATCATTAACTTTATTATATGAACATTAGATTTTACCACTACATAATAGCAGCTGCTTGTTTAGCTATGGGTGTGTTTATAAATGTAATGTGACATGGCTGAGGTGCCTTTTAGTAATTCATTATTCAGTAATTCATTTTTTTTCTCCAGAGTGATCAGACTAGGAGTGTCTGAGGCAGGTTTGTCTTTCTTCATTTTTAGACTTTATGTCTACAAAAACTATTAACTTTGGACAGCAAATTACTGCTAAAGGACTGAAAGAAAGTATTAGCACAAAGAACTTTCGTGACTTTTTTGTGTTTTTCTTCAAAAATAAATAAAATTAAATGTATAAAAAAAAAAAAAAAGAGCTGATAAGAGTAATTTCAAGTCAGAAGCCCATGTGCAGAAAGTCAGCAGTTAGGAAGATGAAGACGGTACGAGGTTATCAGGTAATCCAGTCAGCACATTAGGCTTCATCTGATAAAAAAAAAAGTACATACTTCATCTTACTCAACAATTAAAATTCTCCCCAATTTTGCTAGTACTGGGTTGAACACCAATTTGCCTTTAGAACTTCTTTCATTCTTCATGGTGCTCGAAACATTCCTCCGACGTTTTGCTCCATATTGATACGAAAGCATCACACAGTTTCTGCAATTTTGTCGCCTGGACATCCAAATTAAGAATCCCTCATTCATCAGATTCCAAAGTTGCATTTATTGGTTTGAGTCCTCCTGACTGTGGAGGCCATTGGAGTACAGTGAACTTCCTGCCATTTTTTTGCGGACCATTCTCTGAAACATCCCAGCTCATCTGGCACCAACAAACAAGCCATCTTCAAAGTCACTTATATCCCCTCTGTTTCCCATTCTGATGCCCAGTTTGAACTTTAGCAGGTCATCTTAACCATATCTACCGGCCTTCGTGCACCGACTTCCTGCTATGTGATTGATTAGATATTTGCATTAACAAGCAGTTGAACATGTGTACCTAATAAAGTGACCAGTGCGTGTATTTTGCAAGAAGTCTAACTCATAACCTCAGCAGCATTTCATTAAGTTCACCTTCGTTTTCCAAATTCCGTCTCTTCTCTGACTCCTGGTCGGCTTTTCTTTGGTACTCTGTGAATCTGTGCTGCTGCATAAGCTTGTCCTTCTCCAGCAGAGACAAGCTGGCATCGGCGCTCTTCCTCAAGTTTGCCTAAAGCGAGGAACAAAAGAGCAGCTTTGATGTGGATGGGGAACAAGCTCTAATCTAGCCACTGATCTGAAACAGTAATATATTTGACTTCATAGCTTGCTAGCGACACCACACTATATTAACAAAATCAAAGGAGTGTACTGCAAAGCTGATAACAGGAATTTATAATGCGAGGAAGAAATATTTTAAAAAGGCATTTACCTCTTCATCCAGCTCTTTCATAATCTTTTCAATCTTGTTGTTTGATGTCCTAGGGGCAACAAGAGAAAAAATAAATAAAAATAAATAAATAAACACTCTGAATGTCTCTCACAGAGATGAAACAATGAGGCTGAAGTTTGTAAAATCTTGTGAAAATTGTTTCATGGAAAACTCCAGTTTCCTCATAAAATCACAGAGGCACCAAGGGACAGAAGACACTTTGGGACCATGTCGTTATTAAGTGTCATTCAAGCTTATACATACCATTAATCCTCCCACGAAACAAAACTTTTTTTAGAGTTTGCAACTCATCAATTCTGTTCTCATCAGGCTCAACGTTTTTGCAAGATGTCTTTAGTCAGACTAACAGGCAGACTCATTTTCCCATCGTGGATTAAGAAATTTACATCTTCATTCTTTTCCTTCAAGCCGAGGCTTTGTCTTAATCTGTATTTTGGAAAGTGGCTATGAACGTAAGACAAAGGATTATTCCATACCTGCATTTCTGCTCCAACTCATCTTTCAACTGCATTTCACTGTGCAGCTGCTCCTCTAGCTGGTAGATTCGTTTTTGCAGGTTCTCCAACTGAACAGAAACATTCCATTTCAACTGATCAGATAAAGTTGCAGACATCCAACGTGTCAAAGACCTTGTCTTGAAGACTTGTACTCACATGACTCTTATCTTCTTTTGTGGAACTGCTACGCTTGTCACTGCTCTTCGTGTCAGCGGACCTTCGCAAAATGCTGGAAAAAAAAGCGTTAACAGACAATGAACTTTTCATAAGTCTGTGACATTTACTCTGAAATTTGTTGTTGTTTGTTTGGCTCCATGGCTAAAGCATCCTTGATGCACAATTAAAAACCTGTATTGACATAATATATACAGGTATAAATATAAAAATTCAAGAAAGATGAAGGGAAAAAAGCAGAACACACACATAATTTAGTGGTACAAAGAACAAGTCTGGCAGACTTACTGTTGATTACTGTAATAGGTGAAGCCTACAAACGGGAGCTGGTTGCCCACAAAGGCCTTTGGTATGGGAAAGGTCTCCTCCTCTCCCCGATCCTCCTCAATGTCATCAAAGTTACTGGTGTCAGTGTCACTGCTAAGTTCGGGGACTACAGGGGCAGCCGCTGCACAGTGCAGCAAAGGAGACAACAAAGAGGGGGGGGGGGGCAAGACACACCAAATTTTATTATACATAAAAGCCTCCATGTGTTAGAGGGCATGACAAAAATTCAGAGCACATGTTTTAGAAAACACTCCTAAAAGTGTGGTCTTTCACTACAGGGAATAACATAACACAAAGTCAGTCAATGTCCTGATACCATTCAAGTTTTGTTTAATATTAATTAATAAACACCAGGGATGTCATGAAAACTGATATTTCAGAACAAGTCAAAGCCAACACTGTGATTACTTAGTAATAACATAAAATAGTTTGCAAATGCAGCAACAGGTGTGGTGTGACTTGTGGGAAATTTTATATGGAGGAAATGATGAAGATCATCATAACAGATGAACTACACATTGAATTTAAGCTATGTTATAAGATGTACAGGGTGGGCCATTTATATGGATACACCGTAATAAAATGGGAATGGTTGGTGATATTAAAGTCCTGTTTGTGGCACATTAGTATATGTGAGGGGGCAAACTCCTCAAGATGGGTGGTGACCATGGTGGCCATTTAGAAGTCGGCCATCTTGGATACAACTTTTGTTTTTTTCAATAGGAAGAGGGCCATGTGACACATCAAACTTATTGGTAATGTCACAAGAAAAACAATGGTGTGCTTGGTTTCAACGTAACTTTATTCTTTCATGAGTTATTTACAAGTTTCTCTTTGTTCACAGCCATTGACATGTCGAAGAGGTTAACACGTGAGGAGCGGATCGAAATTGTGTTGATATCTGGTGAACGCAGTAACCGGGTCATTGCAGCAGATTTCAATGCAAGACACCCTACGAGACCACCCATCTCCCATGCTACAGTTAGCAAACTGCTTGCTAAGTTTCGTGAAACTGGTTCAGTGTTGGATTTGCCAAAATGTGGACGCAAGAAAACTGTCACTAATGAAGAAACATCAGTGGCTGTCCTAGCTTCATTCAGCAAGAGCCCACAGCGTAGCACTCGCCGCATGTCACTGGAGAGTGGCATTAGTCGAACATCCCTTCGGCGGATATTAGCTACTCACAAATGGCACCCTTACAAACTCCAGCTACTGCAGCATCTCAACGAGGATGACCCAGATCGGCGCACAGAATTTGCAGAATGGGCAAAACAAAAATTGGAACAGGACCCTCAGTTCACGCAGAAGATTTTGTTCAGTGATGAGGCAAACTTTTATGTGAATGGTGAAGTTAACAAACAAAACCACCGCTATTGGTCTGACACTAACCCACATTGGATGGATCCCTCCAAGACTGTTGGAACAACAAAAGTGATGGTTTGGTGTGGTATATGGGGTACAACGATAGTGGGTCCATTCTTCATCAATGGAAACCTCAAGGCCACTGGATATTTGAAATTGCTACATGATGATGTGTTTCCCTCTTTATGCACTGAAGCTGGCACGTTCCCTGAGTTTTTCCAGCAAGATGGTGCACCACCACATTATGGGTGCCAGGTCCGAGCATTCCTAGATGAACAGTTTCCTGGAAAGTGGATTGGTCGTCGTGGGCCAGTTGAATGGCCCCCAAGGTCTCCCGATCTGACCCCCTTAGACTTTTATCTTTGGGGTCATCTGAAGGCAATTGTCTATGGTGTGAAGATACGAGATGTGCAGCACCTGAAACTACGGATACTGGATGCCTGTGCTGGCATTTCTCCTGCGGTGTTGCTATCAGTGTGTGAAGAGTGGGAGAAGAGGGTTGCATTGACAATCCAACACAATGGGCAGCACATTGAACACATTTTATAAGTGGTCAGAAACTTGTAAATAACTCATGAAAGAATAAAGTTACGTTGAAACCAAGCACACCATTGTTTTTCTTGTGACATTACCAATAAGTTTGATGTGTCACATGGCCCTCTTCCTATTGAAAAAACAAAAGTTGTATCCAAGATGGCCGACTTCTAAATGGCCACCATGGTCACCACCCATCTTGAGGAGTTTGCCCCCTCACATATACTAATGTGCCACAAACAGGACTTTAATATCACCAACCATTCCCATTTTATTACGGTGTATCCATATAAATGGCCCACCCTGTATAAGTACACTTATAACTGAATGATAGTTTCAGGCTAGAAACACATAATGTTCACAAAGACTTATCCTGTACAACTGATTAAAAAAGCTGATTAAGTCAATGTTAACACTATGATCAGTATTTAAAGAGCTTGCATTTAATGTTTTAACAGTTAGGAATCATGATATTTCAGTATTAATTTCTACTGACAACCATATTTCTGATATCCTATGGCTAGTACATACTGAAGCAAAGTAAGTCTATTTTTTAAGTGCAAAAGCTTAAAAACTAAAATGTTCATTTTTTTTTTTAAAATAATACATGCAAACTAAGTCATTTATATAGTCAGTTAGCCCAAACCAAATAAAATTTCTTGGCTTCTTCTTATCACTGTGGTATATTATAAATATTTAAATCTGCTGTAACTATGATATAATTATCTTTTTCCCCCTCCGGAATGACTTTTTTCTTTCTTTGGAGACCCTCTTAAAAACAAGGGAAAGCAGCCAGCTAGTAGAGCTGGTCAGCCCCTGATACACGAACGGGGTGGGGGTGGCGGTGGCAACAAAGTGCTGACTTCAGTCTAGTAAAGTATTAAATATAAAGCCAGTAAAGAACCGACTATAGCTAGTGGATTTAGCACTACATTTCTAATCTCTCTTTGCTCCAGTGTCAATCCCAGCGCATTAACATTTGCTTTAAACTGCTTTCCCCATTGTTGGCCTCAAAAATGCTGCGCTGCAAGTTATTACTCTGAGCAGGAATCACGTTTAGTCTTAGAAAGGATACTGAATGAATGGCTCGTCTACAAGAATTTCCTGCAACTGTCTGCAGTAGGTCAAATGGAAAACATGATCGCAGGATCCATGATTGCAATAACAGTGAGCCGCAGCCAAATTAAAAGGGAGTTGTGAAAATAATCCTTAACATTAAGAGTGAAAACATTCGTACTCTCTCTGATGTTCTCCCACGTCCACTGGTCATTCTTGAAGAAGGGATGCCTCTTGATTTCATCTACACCATTACGGCCGAGTCGAACATCCCTGTGGGGGTCAGGAGGAGAAATTTAGTAATTTCAGCAATTCTGTATGGTAATGTCAGCCGAAGACAGCAAGTATCTGAATGCAAAGAGAGCCATTATCTCTGCTATTAAGATTTTTTGTTTTTCACAGAGGGTTCTCTACATCTGAAAACAATTTATGCAAAGAAAAGGATCTCTGACAAAAAGCTTCGTGATTCGCTGCTCGGTCTGTGGCCATCTAACCTGTCAGTCAGGAAAGCACAGATCAGATTCTTGGCGTCATTGGATATGTCGCTGTCATCAGGGAAGGTCAGCGCATTCTTGTGGTTCATAATTTTGCTATAGGTCCCCACTAGTGAGTCTGCATAGAAAGGAGTGTCGCCTATGCACGGGACAAACGAGAGCAACAGGTAAGTAATATGTCTGGCTCTAAATATGTAAAATAAGTCATCTTTCAATGCAAATACTCACCAACTAACATTTCGTACAGAAACACTCCCACTGACCACCAGTCGCACTCTCTGCCATAATACCCATCTCCTCCTTGGGATTTCAGTACCTCAGGTGAAATGTAGTCTGGAGTTCCCACTGCTGTGTCACATCGTACCATACCGTCCTGAAGGGCACGAGCATCATAAACATTAACAACTCCAACACTTTACTTCAAAAAAATTATCATTATTACAGGGATATGGTAAATAGACTCATTCTTATATAGCACCTTTTCACTTTGCCAGAGCACTCAAAGCACTTTACACAAGATGCCTCATTCACCCATTCATATAAGCACTTAAGCACTTTTGTCTATGCTTAAGTACTTTCTAGCTAATATTCACACAGACTCATACTCCGATAGATGCGTCAGAGAGCAATATGGGGTTAGAGTCTTGCCTAAAGATATTTGGCATGCAGACTGGAGAGCCAGGAATCAAACCACCAACCTTCCAATCAATAAATGACCAGCTCTACTGAGCTACAGCCAACCTGCCATCCCAGTAATTACTATTATTAATGTTGTTGTTTATTTAATTCTATAAAAGTGGATGAAAACAACGACTAAGTGATTTATCAGATTTTAACCTAAATTACAATTTTGGCTTTCAACAATTAGATCAAAATAAAACTATGATAATAATACAAATACTCTTCTTGCAGTGTTATTTGTATGCCAGCTATGTCCAGACACTTAAACTCAGCTATTAATCTTTAACTCCTCGAGATCTATCTTGAAGTAAAACTCTTAAAGTAGATTTATGCGATTTTTATAAAAATGTTGAGGTGTCGAGTATGAGCTGCAAATAATCTAAAGCATTATTCACATCTTTCTGGCAACAAAACCGCCTCCCAGCTTTCTAAGTTAGAATTTTCCCCTCTCTCTAAGTAAACAATTAATCAACAGGTGCTGAGCTAAAGATCTGACAATAAATTCAGAACGGGTCCCCAAAAAAACCACCTCGACACCTCCACCTCATTTTTCCTTATACAAGGACACATTCTTAAAGTTCAGTAACTCCATACTCGTTGTTAAGATAATGTCTAATATTGCTCAATAATCAAGATTAAAATACAGACCAGAATAATCATGACTGGGATTCTCACTATAACTGAGCAGCATTAACTTACAACACAGAAATTTTTAAAATAATCTTATCAACATCATCTGACAATATGGCTGTGTTGAAAGAAAGTGAATCTGATACCTTGTTCATTTTCATGCAGGTCCCAAAGTCTGCGAGCTTTAAGTGGCCTGCTTTGTCAAGCAACATGTTATCAGGCTTGACATCTCTGAGGAAACAAAAACATCGTTAGACATCAGTTCAAGCACGATGCCAATAAAAACATCCAAATCAAACACACGCATCACAAGGAAACTAAACTCATCCAAAACATTCAAAGGCTTCAGCAGCGTTCTCAGGCTGAGCCGATGCATGGGCATTAGCGTTAAGGTTAGAGAAACAAAACAAAAAACAACACAGTCAGATCTGTCTGAACGCTGTAGCAGCGACAGATCAGATGGCATGAGGTATGTGGGCAGCTGTTAATGAGAATAGTGTTCATGTTTCTCTGCACATCGTGCAAATCTGAGCACGTCAGGAAATCCTTTATACAAGCTGTTATAAGACCATTTAATGCACATTAACGTTAACTTTATTAGAAATTAACATTGTTTTGCTGTTTGGGATGTGTTGTGTCTGGGTTAAAGCTGCCGTGGAAATGTGATTTCCTGCAAAAGGATTAATAAAGGATATATCCATCTAAAAAATGCTCTACTCCAATTAGAAGAAAACTGATGGAAAAAAAATTCCACCACTGTACCCAGTAATGTTATGAACTCAAAGTGCTTCAGGGCTGTTGTGTGGAGAAACAATTTGATGTTCAGATGCATGCCATACTTGTTGCTCTGCTATTGACTATATAAAGCTCCCTCTGGCCCACGCCATTTCACACATTGGCAAACATGTTTGTTGCACTGGATGCCATGAGAAAAAAAAAAAAAAAAAAAAAAAAAAAAACAGTGCATGTCTACCCAACTTATCTTTAGCAATCTTTTACATATTAGAAAGAAAAATGAAGCTGACAGTGTGGAAAAATGTTTTGGGTTTTTTTTTTTCCAAAGTTCTGAGAAGCAGTTGTGAAGTCTCTTAAAACCGATAGCACCTAGCAACGTTACTTCCTGCTTATTACAATGCTTCCTTAGATCACAGGTTGCCACCAAACCTCTTTGATTACGCTACAAATCTCACACAATTACAACGGGAAAAAATGCCTTGTGGGGAAAAAAAAAAAAACAGAACTAGAAATGACGATGTAATGTTAATAAGTCTTTTTAAATAACGAAAATAGCTTCTTTTTCAACATATATGAACACCACAAACAAAGAAAAATACAAATGTTGTACTGTCACCTGTGAATGAAGCCCATAGAGTGGATTCCATCCAGGGCCAGGACTACCTCGGCTGTGTAAAAGCGAGCCCACTTCTCTGGGACGTCATAGTTGCTCATCAAGTTTACCAAATCACCACCAGGCATGTACTCCATCACCATGTAGAGGTAGCGGTCATCTTGGAATGCAAAAAAGAGCTGTAGAAGGACAGAATTCAAACAATTAGGAAAAGGATTCAAAAGTATCCCAACAATTTATGTCAGACACATGAATGAGGCTGGATTTATGTGGTCTGAACCATGTCTGACTAATAACTGCATGTTTAGACACTCCTCTGTCCCATCATACCTGAACGACCCATGAACTATTGGCAAAGGCCATGATGTCCCTCTCCTCCCAGAAGAAAGCAGAGTCTGACCTCTTGATCATCTCAAACTTACTCAGCAGCTTCATGGCATATACTTTGCTTGTCGCTTTATGTCTTACCTGAAAAACGATAATGAGGCAGCAATCAAGTCAGACTTATTCATCAATGTGCTACATTTATAGCTACTGCGCTATTCAAAGAAATAAAGAAATAAAAAGACAGAATGGCACTCTTACCAACTGCACCTCTCCAAATGCACCCCTCCCAATAACTTTAACCACCTCATAGTCCTCCGCTTTCATTCGCAGATCACGAATGTTACTAATCGTCTCTTTGTCTGGGGGGGAAGAAAAAAAAAAAACATGCAAAGTTACCAGGAGAAATGCACAAAGCTCTTGTTATGGTGTTGACCTTTGAGAGAAGGTGTATCTCCATCACTGAGGGATCACAGCCTCCCTGTTTATGCAATCTCAGAGGTTACTTTCATAGGACATCCACATTGTTGGCAAGCAAAGCAGAACAAGTTGACAGCGTACTGCAACTGCACAGCTGAGTGACGCCGTTTAGGGAAAGTTTGTTGCTTACTGAGAGTTGGCCTTTCCCTGATGTAATAATTCTAGCTCCCCTTGGGGAGTCAGTATCCACTGTTCAGCCAAATTTGGTCAAAGCAGTACTAGTGGGATAATTTTCAATTCACATGACTCACAACTAGCACGGGAATGCATGGAAAAGCGGGGTGCGGGGGGGCATCCAAGTTCAAGTGATCTAAAAATAAAAAGAAAGTACTAAGCTATTAGAATAAGAACATTTGTGAGTCATTTCCACCACGCATGAGTTCCTGGGATCATGATCCCTACTTGAAAAATCCCAGGCAACCCTGAAGACATAAAAAAAAAAAACATGTTTAGAAATGCAACAAATAGGAACTCCAGTTACTGTTATAGATAATATACCGTGTGAGTATATCTGCTCACGAGGCCGGGTGATGGATTAATGTCAGTAGGTCTTGGCATACATACAGTAGAGCAAACAGCTGATTTGATTGTGGTGCAAACCACAATGCATGGCTGGGGATTCAGAGCTAGAAGTGCTTCAGGCAAGTCATGCTACTGAAGATCACTGTCTTGGTAGATAGCGCCATTATTCCATATCCATCAATGCCTTTCACGAAAATACGGAACCAAGAGTAATTGAGAAGATGCCTAATGGCAGTTTTTGCCTAGGGGTTTACAGTAGGTCACTTGATATTCAAATATGACACGTTATATTCTAGTTGTCCTCAAAACTTTTTAAAAAAACCTGTTAAGAATGCACAAAGAGTTACAACATGCACCATGACATTAATATCCTGCACAATCTTAGCAGTATCTCATGCATTTCTGATTCATTAAGATGGACACTTGAGATCCCATAAAAACCACCACATGATCAATACAGTATGAGTACAGATTTGAGTGCAAATTCTGGGGTACACACTATAACTCACCATTGTCCCATATATTAAGTGCTGGAAATTGAGCAGTTTGACCAGATACATTAAGGAAAGAGAGAAACCTTTGATTTATAGATTTTTTTTTCATCATATTTATAGCAGCTTCCCCCATTCTGGGGACACAGTGAAAAAGAGAAGCCAGCCTTGACAGACATCAGGCGGGTCACCAACCATTTATGAAAGCCCCTTTGTTGGGGACACTAAACAGCAGACACCTATTGTGTCCAAGCCCACATACACGCCGTGACCCAAAAAACTGCTCCTCCCCCCTCCCTGAATCTAGGCTTATACCCATACATAACTGTGAACACAAATAGTTAATGAGAAAGACACAGGGAGCTCTCATAAGGGGGAAAGCTTGATGCAGTGTACTTACATCTATTCAAAAAGTTGTCAATACTCTTGTTTTTCCTCAGGGCAGGGAAGTCAAGGTCATATACCAGTGCATCCAAGCCATCCTGGAAGAAAAGCAGAAGGGTGACCATGCATGAAAGCAAAATTAAAAGGCTGCTACAACGTCACAGATCGGTCATCTCACACGGCATGAGAAAAGCGAACTTTGAAACCGCTCTGTGCAGAAATGTCTGCATAACACTGGCAGTTGGCTTCCAGTCTGGATCATGTTACTGTTGGGGAGCACTTGAGCATTTTGTTGAAAAACAAAACAAATTTTAAAAAAAGTTTTAAAAAGCATGACTTGCATATTGCATGACACTTATGACGGGGATGCACCAGGTTATCGGCCAGTAACTGCACATGTTATGACATCAACCAATGGCCGAGAGTTTTTCTGTTCCAGTTTCAAATGTGAAGACACAGGGAGCTCTCTACCAAATTGCAACTTTAAACATCAGAATTGGAATCAGATGAGAATTTTGCATCCATAATGTTTAGCACCAACATAGTGAATTCAAAAACATTATCTTTGGTCAATACAATTTTTGCCATCTATAAATGAATGCAATGACTTTTTTAGCTTTTGTCTTTTCAAGCAAAAAGTATATTATTCCAAACTGACATCACAAGTTTGTATAAGCAGTTGCAGCATCACGGATGCAAAAAAGCTAAATGTCAAAAGAACCTAAGAAATATATGTAAGTAATGACGACTGCACACTTCCCTATCATAGGCATTACAGCGATGTTCCTGGCCCTCCACAGAGTCATAACTTGATTACCATCATCTCTGCTAGGGTACGACTTGGATCAATGATTGAAAGCAAATAAAATAAACAGACATAAAGTATTTGTTGCCATTTTGTTTACAGTACAATTTTTGTGATTTCAAGAACTATAAACATGGAGAGAAACAGTCTTGCCTTCGGCTAGGCTACAGCACAAGTGCCACTGGCAGGGTTTAATCTAATCTTCCATAATCCAGAATGGCTGAAAAAACACGGGCACACAAACCCTCGAATGTACGTCAACTGTTATGAAGTCCCTCGCGCAGGTGTGAGCCAGATGTTTTCAAGGGGTGAGCTAACCTACATATGCTTTCCTTTAAAAAGGTCAGAGGTACATGTTCCAATATAAAGCTGGTAAGAGCTACAATTAAAATATGCAATAAAATGTATTTATTGGCCAAATCATCTCTGAACTTTCCATCATAGCATGAAATCTTGTCATTCCCGCAGTGTCTGTGTTTCTCTGAGCAAAGCAACGATGACACATGGTGAATCAGCAGCTTGGGAATCCTCTTAAGTCACTCTGCTGTTTCTGCTCAACAGTGGAGGACACAGACATAAAACAAGCAAGTGCCCTGCAGGATGGGCGGTACAAGGAAAACGCAGGTGGGAGGGGAAAAGGAAAAAGTAAAAGGTGTAGAATGGTTGTTAGGAAGAAGAAAAACAACTTCAAAATTTACCAGGACAGAACACTGGAAAATTAATACTTTGGAAGCTCTTCTGCTCAGTTTAGAAACCTTCAGAAGTCAACATTCAGGAGAGAGTATTTACAGAAGAGGCTGGGAGGGGGAAAAGAAAGACGCCCTTTGAGCCATATAGTATCCAGCCAGCTTACACTGGGAAAAAAAATGCTGAAGAACTGAGTCCTTCAGGACCTTAATCACAAGGCTTTGCGCTCAGCAATGCACGTTTGCATAACTTCCTGCCGCAGAAAACTCTGGACAGCCACAGTAACATTCCTCAACAGGACTGTACACGTCAGAGAGCTATTTTAGTTATGTGGCCAAGCAAGTTCTCAACAAAAAAGTGAAGGAGAGGAAAGAGAAAAAATAATAATAATCTATCCCAAGTGCAGAGTCACATAGAGAGCCTCATTTTCAATCATCAGCACAACTGTAAAACACTATGACGGAAAGGCAGAGGGAGTGGAGAGAGCTGGTGCATGTTGTGCTAGCTAGCCCAATAGGAGAACAAATAAAGGAAGCAACAAAGAAAAGCCAGCCATCCTAAGGAAACACCAGAGCAATAACAGAGCCAGGTAGGGAAAATACAAATACAATATAGGATAAAATCATGAAACAAGAATGTGAAAGCTAACTGATTAACAAACAAAATAATGTCAGTTTGATAAAGTCTAAATGACCAGCACTGGCTGTGAGCATCGGTGTCTGAATTTCGGCATTTGCATGTTTGCTGTGGTGTCACCTATCCTCATAGAGAGAAACTGAGGGCAAGCTGATATAGACATACCAGGAGGAACAATATATATGGCATTTTAATCAACTGGCAAACTATTAATAAATAAGGTAGCTTAGCAACATTAAATACCCCTAATGGATGTTTATGCATTGATATACAACAGAACCTAGAATTAATGGCCTTCCACTCATGAGCGATAGAGGAAGTAGGATGACCAACCAGGTAAGTGTAGTCAAAATAAAATTGTAAAGCAACAAAACAGTGTACAAGTGATTTCCTGTATGCATGATTTTGCACGTACCATGAAGGGGAAAAAATGGAACTACTTTAACAACCTATCAACAACAAACGGCAGTTTTAGGGCTACAGCTACCGATTATTTTCGTAATCGATTATAGGACGACTGCCGTCTACTCTCAGCAATTTAAACATCATATTAGACTAAGTTCAAATTTCATCTGCGTATACTTTAATTTTAATTTCTACAGCTTTACTGCAGATATTTTACTGTGTAAAACAAATGTGGTGGAAATGGGGGTTTGCTACAAAATTCACTTTTCTTCACATTAGAGCTTGCTGAAGAGGTGGTTTGATTCTCGCCACGTGACTCCTGCCAACTTTTTTCCCCGTAAAGGTTATTATGGCAATTGCTGCAGTTTCAGACACTTTTGTTTCACTCCATTCGAGTTTACCGTCTCAGTAGCGGCTACGCGCTTTGTGTATGTAGACAAAATTCGGCTACATGTTTAACTACTTACATGGTGACAGCTGAGGGCTACAAAGTTAAACTGCGCGTCGAAGCAAAAACATTTACACTGAGGAATTTTTTGTTAGAAATCGATTTAATTGATGAATCGCTGCAGCCCTAGTCTGTTTGCTGAGCTAAAAGGCTTCTTGGCCAGCTGTCAAAGTGGAGAAGTTGAGAGCTGTCTTTTAATAGGAGCAAAGTTGTTAAGAGCCCTTTGCTTCAGTTTTATTCTGATAGTGGCGTAGACAGTGGCACTTGTTTTGCTCTGAAGATCCACTATAAGCTAGAGGGCTACCTTAACTTCATACACAACCACACTACCACCGGATTTAATCCAATATGGCAGGGTTGAAATGGAATACGCAACTCGCTGACAGAAGAACTTGGGGAAATATAAATATTTGCAGAAAAGAAACTTAAACAGATTTTTTTTTTTATTCACTTATTCAGCTTTTCAGCAACACCACACAAACACACACATTAACATAACCATTTATACCACAGATAGAAAATAAATCTGTGGGAAACTGATTATCACCGCACAATTCAGCATTGGGTGGGAAGCAGCATAGAGAGGTTAGACTGTGCCGACTACAGCAGAGCAGAGCATCCAGATCACCTGCACATACATGTAAGACGGCCAAGCAGGAGTCATTTTTGTCACAATTTTGTCACAACCTTTAATAACATGCATCAAGAGGACCACCAGTGATTTTTATATTCAGCCAATACCAATAGCCAGTTGCAGCTTCCTGCACATTGGAGAGGCATCAAGACTTGTGTAGCTTAACAGTGCATGTCATGATAGGCAATTTCAAAGAAAACTGTCAGAATCTGAGAAGTGCTTTACATTATCGGGGCTTGTTGCCAGCTCTCTGAACTAATGTGGATTGTAATGCTTCCAAAGTATTATCACCGTTCCACCTACACAGCTGTGCTGCCAAGGAGAGAAAAAAACAAAACACTGCAAGATGACTGCAACGCCTGGCATGAATGGAGAGTTTGGAAAATACCGCTGGAAGATATCCCTTGAACTTGTCAGCACATCATGGATCAACCCATTTATGCGAGTCTGTTTTCTTTCAGATGAAAATCATCAACTCAAACAACAGACACACAAAGACCACCTAGTGGATTTCAACCAGCTCCTATTGCCTGTTTGGTGTCTGCATATTAAATTCCTATTTGCAATACAGTTTTCATTGCAAACTGCTCCAGGCTACAGTACCAAATATGAGGCTGTTAGTACAGGAATACTTGAAATACTTTTTCATCATGAGTAATTTAGAATACTTTGCAGTAATGAGCACTTTCCAGGCAAACTGAATGAAAAAAGGTGCACACACACTATAAATTAACACCAAGGATCCAAGTTGTTATCATAGCCTTCAGCCAAAAGGCAAAAATGTGACACTATTAATTAAAATGATACAATTACTGAGATTATATGCTGCTATGAACTTAACAAGATGTGCCTGCAATCTATGTTATAAGGAAAATCACAAATACGATTAACTCAACTCGAAAGGGGCTGGGCAGTAGCCGTGCACAGGATGTTTTATTATGTGGCAGTCTTGGGAAAAATTGCAAGGAAAACAAACCAGAGCGTGAAGTTTCTGCTGATGCTGCTTCAGCCAGTGGGTGACACATCCCTGGGATTACTAACTAATCATATGAAAAACCGTCTCATCGCCCTATTCATGAAATGCGATAGTTATGTTTAAAATAAATAATTTTTAAAAAATGTATGGTTATACGGAACACACCAATGCATTGGCTGACATTACATATGATAATTATTTCCTTTATATCTTAATCCTTAAGGGATAAAAATACACACACACACAAGCACAAGCTCTTTTCCAGACATTAAAGTCTGAGTTAAAATTTCCATGAGAGACTCGGCCACATCATCCCCTCTCAGCATGCCAGCACAAGGCATGTGGACCGGCCTAAGTTGAGCCCTTCTTCTCACGTCCTTTTCTGCCACCTCTTCAAGACAATATGCTTTCCACATGTGAGCAGCTGAGCAGACAGCCTATTCCACAGCGGGGTGTGCCCGTGTAAACGTGAATGTGATCATACAAACCAGTGAAGCCATTCAAAGCATGAAATAACACATCACTTCCTCTCAGGTAAAGACATTCCAAGAGAGTTAACGCTGATCCCTCTAGTACACTTAGAAACCACCACTGAGACTTTAGCTGGAGTTTTTCTAACCAAGCACTTTGTCTGGACTACTTCTTACACACTCTGGCTGCAGATAATATCTACTGACAGGAAATCCCATGTGCCTTGAGAGACTGCATATCTAACAACTCTGCTGGATAAATGGCTGTGACAGTAAGCCCAGGAGTGGCAAAACAGGGGTATTTGAGTTTCTTATGAGGTCCCAGTGAGCGAGAATTACTGTCACAAAAGCTTTCATGTGAAAGTAGAATGGAGTAATTCCAACAGTGGCCATCGCTCACTGGTTTCCAATGACTGAGCGGTGGATTCTCAAGCAAAACTGTGCTCCTCTGCCTGCACGGCACACGCCAGCAAATGACCAGTTCATTAAAGGAGGGAATATAGACCACTATGTACGCAGGAGCGCCCAACGGGCATTTTAGCCCTTAGTAAACAAGACAGATTCTGAATGGGCTCATTTCAAAAAAAAGAAAAGAAAAGAAAAAAAAAAGAAAGAGGAGTTCCATTTTTAAAAGATTGGACCATTTTAGTATGCATTCCTGCACATAATCAGTCAGTTGAGGGAAAGCACTGCTACAAATAGCTCAGTCAATTGTTGTTCCCATAACTGAATAGCTGAGGAGAGCAGTTTACAACTGACAGCCCTGAACCTTCTGACAATAGGGGTAGATGAAATGCTGACCGTAACCTTCACCACAAATATGTTTTCCAAATCAAGACGATACAGTTCATTATCAAAAAAGCTCCAGACGGGTGTTGCTTTGTTTTAAATTCAAAACAAATCAACAGAGCCCACACATTTCGCGTGCATCTTCCAAAGTATTACATACCTTACTTAAATACCTTTGTTACTTCCGGGGAGCAATGGACAAATCAAACTTAAATGAATGCTGTAGGTGATTGCCCCCATGAAAATACGGCCACTGCAGTACTTTTTGTCAGAGTTACATTAGCCCTGCAGGGGATGCAGCTGTGAGAAAGAGCAGATGCAAAAACAACCGGTGGTGCATTCAAGGTTCCTGCATTCACCAGTGTCGCCTTTATGGTGAAAAGACTGATTTTGTTCATAGTATATATTTGTCACAATTAACAAATGTTCAACAGATAAATGGCACATGTGATGCTGTGGTTTAGAATGAAAGGTCATTACACAGCGCAGTTTGTTTTGGTTGACTAACACAAAACAGAAGTAGCTTAGAGGACTGGTATATCATGATAACAATGGCCTGGAAAATCTTGCCTTGTCATATACCCCTTACACAGGCCTATATGCTAACTGAGAACACCACAAAAGGGTGAGTATTATGTCCTCCTGTCAAAAAATCTCTGGTAAATCTAGAACGACACTGAATTTTGCTGCATTATCAGTGCAAGACAACACCTTAAGAGGCAGGGCAGGTCCATTAAAGGCAAAGGTCGTGAAGGCAGGACAAGGATTCACTGGCTGTTTTTCAAAAGTTGGGCCTTGGCAAATCAACCATGCAAGGAAATCAGAACGCAGGCCACAAACATGTTTATGCTAGACGCTCAGAACAACTGTTTTTCAAGGTAAGCTTCTATAAGGCCTTGTTTTATTGTATGATAGTTTCCCTTAATTGGGCTATATCCAGCATTAGACCTTAGTCCGAATTGGACTTTAAACAATAAATACAAGTTTTCACACCAGCTGTTTTTATACCAAAGTTTCTTTATCATTTCATTATAAGGCATAAGAATCACTCACTCAGTTCTGATGTTTTAAGACCAAATCTAAACTAAGTAGAAAAAACTGGCTGATGTTGACCTCCAAATGTGATTTCAACAAAATAAATCTCTTTGTCTCATACTCATCTAAATGTATAGGAATCTCACCCCAAAGCTAATTTATCTATTGCCATCTCCTACACGAACTGAAATATATGCAGCATTTCTGATTTTAGCTCACACTCTAAATCAAAGTCAGAGCATCCACCCTGACGTGCAGTACTCGCACAGTCGCCATCGTATGAATCTGGTTTATTGGCCTTGCCGTTTCCTGTAATTACTCTTATTACAGATTTAAAGCCCAAATAACAGATGAAAGAGGGATCAAACTCAGAGGCGCTGACGTAGTCCAAGTGTCAAAGGAAGAACGAAGATGATGGCAGGAAGCCTTTATGTAGTGCACCTCAATTATCGCTCACAGCGAGTCCTAACACATCGATTCATTTATTATAATGCACTAGATGATAAACAGACTCCACTTTAATACTCTAGCGCCAAGTGCGAGGGTACCTGGGACATTTTTCAGTACTTTGACAAATACACAACCAATTTTCATTTTTCTAAAGACTTCGATACAAACCGGTCATTGCTGGTTGACAGAAGAATAAAATATATTAACAATGCTTAGACCTTTAATGGCAACTGAGCTTTCACATCACAATGTCAGGAATTCTGTCTGTTCAGATTGGCTCTGTAGAAGCCAATGTAGAGCACAATGATTGGGGAGGGGGCTGCCCATCTAGATAAGGCTCTCTTCACTCTGAGCAGGATTTATTTAGCGGGTGAAGATAAGGGCAGCAGGACTGGAGAACAGTGAATGGTTATGCAAGCCCAGAGCTGAGCACTAAGGTACAGGCCAAATGTCACCATCACACATATCACAGACCAAGCTCCTATAAGGGAAAAGTGTAATCCCAACGGTCCTATACTTCAGAGTGCTATGCCAGGTACAGAAACACAGCCAGTAAAAGGCTTGCATTGTGCATTCTGATGGAGCCTATTACTCATAGCCAAGCATGTTGGCTGTTTCATGCGTTAAATGTCCTGATTCACAGCCCTCAGAAACATGAGTCTTCAGTCCACATAATTTTGGTTTATGGGTAGAGAGCAGAGCCCACACCCAGCTACCTCAGAGCTGCCTGCTTGGGCTCAACTCTCCAGACATGCAGAATGGCTCTGGGACACACAGGGAACTCCAGGCCAGTCAAAGACAAGAGGTTATTTGATTAGCATGGAATTTTATTAAGCTGTGGGTGGAGTTGCATGGTGGCAGAGAGCGCCTCAGCAAAAGGCCTCCATTCATTGATCAGGGGCGATTGCAGAGAGGGGAAGAAAAAGAAGAAAAAAAACGAAAAAAAAAAAACGAACAACACCCTTGTGTGTGAGGCTGCCAGTGGGAACAGTCCCCACAGCTTTTTGCCATTAGAAATGCAGAGCATGTGCACCTCTAGGTGAGTTTAAGAGCCCCTTTTCTGCAACACGATGGGAGGTCAGTGCTAAGCAATTTTTCTTAACTAAAGACCACTATCTGTAGCACCCTGAACACAAACACTCTGGGATGTGTGGGTGGGGTTTTGGGACAAGCCCCTTTTCCTATAGGGCTTTCCTTACTTCATTTGTTTAGGACATTAGTCCACTCCTATATCATAAAGTCAAGAGGAATCAATCAAAGAGCCACGTAGCCTCAAGAACTATTAGGATATACATAATAATATGGGAACTGTTTATTTCTTGCCACTTCAGTGGTGTGCCCAAGGCGAAAAAGTAGGTCAGACACGAAAACCCAAAACATAGGTTTCAAGTCAGTAACTGGAAATTCAAGGCAAGTCCATCCGTCCCCCCAGCCGATTACCTACACTCATTTTGATTCTACCACAACAAACATCTGAGCATAACCGCTCCCTTTAGTCACAAAGACGCAAATCCGTGCGAAAACACGCAGCACGGCTGTCACTGAACCTGAAACGCTCCTCATATCAACACACCCTCGACGTAACAACATCCCCTCCACGATGAGTCAGTTTCTGGGACTGCTGCACGTAATAAAAACCAATAAAGGTGTTGCTCCAGGCTGAAGCACGTGGCAACAGCCGCCTTTCTTTTAAGATAGGAGTCATTTCGTGAGTTGTCATCCACAGGCAGGAAAAACTCTAGCCAACAGGTGTACTGATGCAGCTGAAGCTCTGCAGGTTAAAACAGGCTTGAAGAGGGCCTATCACTTTATATGAAGCTGAAACAAACAACACATCTAACTGGTCACCTTTTAAATGCTCTAAGCTGCACACTGGTGACCAAAAATATATATATCACAATCGGTTTGCAGCGCAAGGCAGGAAACTCACTAGTTGATGGGTTTTAACTTGCCTAAAACAAAAATATTGTAACGAAGTGTGTGTCTCTGTGCCATCTGTCCAACTTCTTAGTCATTACGTTACAATTATTCGTTATTTTTATTTTAAACTAGCAGAATACCGCAGTTAAAGATTGTTATTTCCACCCTATTATAGTGTGCGTTTTTGCCTTCGATTTTGTAAAGTATCTGGAGGTGTTAAAATTAATACCCCTAGTTTTTACATGCCAGTGCACAGGTGTTCAAGCTAACTAAATGTCTGTATATTCTGTGTCAGCAATTCTTCAGTGACAAGATGAAGTGTGCTGGTCTCGGAAAGAATTTCTGTTCCAAGGACTACACTGACCCCGAAATTGGCTGAATCGCTATGTTAGCCACTTTAGCCCGCTACTATGCTACAAACTTACCAGCAGACAATCCGTGTTTATTTCTGACTTTGGGTCTTTCAACATGGCATCGATCTTTTCAAATCGAGCCTCCATCGTATCCCCAGCAGACATTTTTGCTGCAAAACTCATTCCCGACGTTGAGTTATGAACAAAACAGCCCAATGGCGAGTGGCTAGCTAGCTTTAGCAGCTAGCGATAGCTAGCTAGCTAGCCAAATGTCCCTTTCTTCTTCTGAACTTTCCGCCGCACTTCAAAGAAAACACATCGTTCTCCTGGAGCTTCCACACGCTTTAAGGTTGCATTGAACATGCAAAAGCCACATTTTCGGATTTGAAGTATGTGTCCCCGGTACGAGTGGCAAACAACTTTAGTGGCAAAGATAAATGTGGCGACAGATTAGTCAGCCTCCGTGGGATGCCGCTGAGGATAAGGGCTTAAAATGTTGGTGCATCCAAACAAAAGGCAGTTAAAACGTGAATGCACCGTCTCTCTGAAAAAAAGCACAATTTGTTGGAAAGCTAGTCCTGTGCCGTTCCCATATCTATGCCAGGCCCCTGCAGAAAATGACAAACCAATCTGACAGCTCAAAAGTAGAAGTGGTGGGAAAAAAAACTTCTGCTTCTTCCAAATTTCGATGAGTGTAAAGACGGAGTCGTTACAACGTTTAAAGGCAGTCCATCCGTAGCGTTGCGTGCGCTGTCACTGAGCCTCGATTGCCTCCCCGTCCGAACTGCTTTATCCCTCAGATGGAATACAGACAGATTGGGTTTGATGTGTGTTACTTTTCAGAAAACAATCGCAGACGATGCCCGATTTTCTCCAACAGTCTAGCCAATATGTCCGCCTTCCTGTTCAAACACCCCTGAGAAGATACTTCAAATGTCAGGTACTGGGCATGCGCAAGTCTACATCACAAACTGGAAGGCAACACGTTGCTGCTCCCAAACGTTAAAAAGTTGCCTAAACGTTATGATCTCACTGAAAATCTACCATCTGAGGAAGAATAAACTTAAATTAAGTTTAAAATTATTTATCTTTAATGTTGATATATAGAGATTCTATTTGGTTCTTTTTTCTTTTTTTTAAAGACTTTTAGAAATACTGTTGGTTAGACTGTTAATAAAAAATAATGGTCACGACATAAACAGCAAAACCATTCATCCGAATATCCATAGGAAGTACTATAAACACTGTATCTAAATGTTATGACAATTACATAATAATAATAATAATAATAATAATAATAATAATAATAATAATAATATAGCATATTAGAAATAATATATTTAGAATAATTTTATTAATTGTGATGAATTATATATTATTACTAATCTATATATATTATAATTATATAATATATATTATTATTTAATCTTGTTTCTGTATGATCTGACTAGATTAATAACTGCCAATTTTTTTTTTTTTTTTTTTTTTTTTTTTTTTTTTTTTTTTAAATTGGGAGTATAATTTTTACAGTTAAAGCTGAGCTTTAACTAGCTTAATCTATTCTCCACTGGCTTACATTATGTGCAACAAAACCACACACTCTCAAAATTATTCTTTCATAACTAACATGTACAGTCAGTTATGAAAGTTTACATAGACTCATCTTGCCCATAACTGTCATGGCAATTTGGAACTTTTACTTATTTCTTTGGATGGTTCTTTTTCCAGAGTGCAATGGTTGAGCAGCATACATCTAAAGAAACACTTGGGTGCGCAAATTTGAATTTATTTTAGATTTTCTCTACTCCACACAGTGTCAAGAGTACATATACAGGCTCAAATATATACGTACACTCAGTTAAATCTTTTAATAAGTTGTGCTGAGGTTCAACAGTGTGTTAAAAGACATAATCTGGGAATGTCTCTTGGAGCTATTTCTAAACAACTGCAAACTCAGATCTGCAGTTCAAACCAATATACTTAAGTGTAAGTTATTCTGATGTATCATCACCTTGGCTCATCTTCCAGACTTTGGCTTTCACCCTCACATGAGAGGAAATTGGTTAGGATGTCCAGGAACAACCAAAAGAGCCAAACAAGAACCACCAAGGCTACGGCCTGGAAAGTTTTGGAATACAGTGAAGCTTTAGAAGTGTTACATTGGCATGGACTGAGAAGATGCTGACCAAGAAAGACCTTCAACATCTTCAAGCTTGACTGAAATTTGCAGCTGCCCACATGGGCAAGCCAAATGCTTTCTGGCAAAAAGTTTTATGCTCACACAAAACAAAGACTGGGATTTTTGGAAGAGTAAAGGTGGGGTTTTAAAACCTAAGAAACCTATACCAGCTGTCAAACATGGTGGTAGTAGCATCAGGCTTTGTGGCTGTTTTGCTGCCAGTGGCAGCAAAGGTTAAAATATCAATACTACAGGCACATACTGGCACATTACACAAAGTAGATGGAGTAGACAGAATTATGCCAATAGAATAGAAAATTCTAAATAGATTAAAAAAATATTTCTTTCCTAATGTTTCAAAGTAATTAAATATGTTTGTTGCACAACCATTCTACCTTGGAAAATGTATAGTATAGATATAAGAATACATGTTCCTGCAAGGTCGTTATAATTCTGGGAAGCCCCTATATGTCAATACAGGTTCTAGGAAGAGGTGCATTTTGTATCTAGCCTGTCCGGCAGTGATTAACGCCCTCGGCCTATGGATCGTGCACATATGCACTTCTCTCTCTGATTTAATGTCTGTTCATTTGTTTCCTGTAAATGCTGCACATTTTTAAAAGCGCATCTATTGCACAAGAATTGTTTGCTGTACTGCGTAATAACTTGAGTGCTTACCTTCAATGTAATTTTTTTTATTCTTGATGTCATACGACAGGGGGCGATGTTTTACAATTTATCGAGAGAGCTCACTCGTTTTCAAGAACTTGAATAAGCCCATTGAGCTTGACTTTATGACAAGGGGTGCAAAGTCCACATGTCGCGTATGTTTCGTATTCATATTCCTTTATATGACCAGAAGTATCTATCAAAGCTATGCAGCATTATTAAGACCATGCTTTCGTGTACCCCCAATGTATTAATGATTTGTACATACAGAGGGATCTGACAGCATTTTGATCTGAAAACCAAAAGCAGGTTTTGAACAGTTTGCGCAATCACCATACAATCACCTAAAGGTGTAAGTATGCATGTTTTAAAAAAAAATGCAACTTAAACATAACCTTCATTTTCAGGTGTGTGTAGATGTATGTTCGTGTTTCGGTGAGATTGTTGACTCGTTCTTTTCACTTTCTTGGCATGTTTATCATTAGTCTTTCGTGCAAACTGTTTATTTTTCTTATATCTGCGAATCAACCGAGCAAATATCATGCTGTCGACGCTATATTGTAACGTAAAGTTAGTAGTACCTAATATAGTTCTTGCACGTTTAAACTATAATAAAATAAAAAACAAAAAACTACTTATACATATCGTCGATGGTTACTATTCATTTACTAGCTTTGGACGACCTCTTTTGCCTTTTTCCTCCCATTTGATAAACAAGCGATCACAAAGAACAACCTTAGCCGAACTTCCGCTGATTTGAACCAAACGGTACGTACTGTAGCTTCCTGACGTCACGTTGTTGCTTCGTCGGCTGTGATCAGCTGTGAGCAGCCGAGCGCCCAAAGCAGCAGCAACGTTGGTACTGGCGTCGGAACCGGAGAGCGCAAGTTTACACACGGACCCCAATCCCCGTGGAAATGTGACTTTCTGCGTTACATATAAGGTAGGCTACGTTTTTTTTATTTCTTATTTTCCTCGAGGCCTTAATTTGTTTTGGTGCAGTATAATTGGCACAAACCAGCAAGCCTTCTAAATCGGGATGTCATTGATGTTCAGCTGTAAACGCTGGCTCTGTGTGTGTGTGTGTGTGTGTGTGTGTGTGTGTGTGTGTGTGTGTGTGTGTGTGTGTGTTTATATCTTTGTGGCCACCAAAAATTGGAAGTTTGCTATACTTGTGGGGAACAACAGCCCTTGGACCATAATCCTTGTCCTCACAGGTTGGAAGGTTGTTTGTTTGTTTTTTTGAGAGGTTTTAGGGGTTACAATTGGGTTATGGTTAGGTTTAGGATAAGGGATATGGTTGGGCATTCATTTTTCATGGTTAGGATTGGGGTAAGGGGCTAGGGTAAGCATTATGTCAATTAGATGTCCCCACAAGATGTGTGAGAGAGAGTGCAGCCAAGCTTTAACATGATCATTTTAGCAATCAGTCCATTTATCCACTGTGATTGCTTCAGTACTTGTTGGTAATTATTCATTGTTAGGAAAGCCATGCCGACTGTGCCTGGAGCCAGGTCACTAATACTTGTGCGTGTGTCTGCTGAATACTGTTACAGTTGCCTAAGGCTTGGTGTTGAAACAAGCTTCAACAGCTTAGATAAAGTCATATCAGATAAGAGTGAGCAGCAGGTTTATGTGGAGCCTGTGCATATTACAACATTCTTCCATCCACAGCACATTTGGCACTGTACCAGATGCACGGGGGTGCTTACAGTAGACTTTCTGCTTATTTTTTACTGCTTCACAGCAGGAACTTTACATGAGTACAGTATCACATGAGTAATCATTCATTTGTCAATTAGCTGGGTGGCCTGTCTTGCGTGGAGCACGCGCAGCCCTGTCAAAGAGGACAAGGAATGGAGGGGTCAGGGGGGCTCTGAGCGCTGACCATCTGGCCCTTGGGGGGCTGGTTTCCTCACTGGCTGCCTTTGTTCCTGGTGAACAATTGGGACTTAATCTTGGTGGAGATAACTAAGGCCCCATGACAGCATTCGTGCACTAGGACAGGTCTCTCTCTTTAGCCTTGAAGGAGATGTCTCTTTCTCATGTTGCTTTGTGAAGGCTCTGACTGGCTTGCTTTCAGTGACTTTTGCATCTTAACTTTTTAATCTGCAGTCTCAAGTAAAGCTTTAAAAATTTCTAAGCTGTTGTTTCATTAAACACCTGAAGGTTCCCTCCCTTTTTCATAAAACCATGCACATTGGATCGTTCAAAACTACAAATTAAGTAAGATGCACCTCATTTCTGTTTGCCTTCAAACAATGTCCTATTTAAAATAATAACGCATCTTATTTGGGCGGAGCATTATCCGACCTTTTCTTTCCTTACGATGCTGGTCTACCTTCCTTTTCTTCCCCATCTTCTCATCCATTGTTTTATTGTGTTGGAAACCTGTTATGAGGCAAAGAGGTTTTCCAAAAATGCAGCATGACATTTCGCTTGTGAAAAAAAAAAAATTAACCAAGTTGTGGATAAATGACTATGTCACATCCATTCGTGCTCAGGCAATTGTCACCAGGGTAACAGATTGATTTATTTTCCTGTTATTATTCTCTCACTGTAATTTTTGGGGCTCTGCTTTTGGTGTTCATGTCGTGTTGTTTACTCAGTTGGCCTTGTGCCTTTCTCTTTTTTTCCTTCACAAAGAAGATTTGTGTTCATATGCTGTTATGATAAACCGGGCTCTGTCAGATCACTGAGGGTTGTATTCACTGTCATAACAAAAAGATTCAAACCGACTGACTATCCATTTAATCAGTAACACAGTGGATTCAGATTCCATGGTGGCTTCAAGCAAATTTTATATACCGATCAATGAAACTAAATCAGATCATCCATGATACCAGTTTTGAGATCACAAAAACACCTCCGGGGGTAACCAGCAGATGTTTCTGTTGATCCTTTCTGAAGTACTTTTCAGTGAATGTGCCCTTTTCTGATCACGAGTGCAGATGGCACGAGGGACAAAATCCCAACTAAAGAGATCAGCACTATTGTTTTCACACTTCTTCGGCTGCAGTGTGACAAGCCCCAGAAAACAGGTGGTCCTCAATATAGGCGCCATTCATCAAATTGCTGAGGCAGAAGTCATGACCCTCTATTCAGGTTTTATCCTCATATCCCGTGTTGTCAAAACGATTGTGTCACCAAAACCTGTTCTGTCATCAAAAACGTAGTTCATTAAAATATCAGTGTTTCCATCAGTGCCACAGCAAGAAAAAGTAAGCACTAAAATTTGACTTGCTTACTTAAACAAAAGTGTGTAAATTTTGTCAGCAGAACATCCTAAAAATATAAAAAGTTAAAATATTCAGTATATAAAATGTGTGTTTTTACATTTATTTGTATTATTGAAATTATTACTGCATCTGCATTAATATCTCGGCAGCTTAACTGTTGCCGTTGTTTGAGGTTCAAGCTAATTGATATTGTTTTATATGTATTTTGTAGCTTTTTTAATTAAAGAAAAATTCAATTTAATGCATTTGTCTCACATATGTTGTTCTGTAGTGTGACTACAAGCTGGAAATGCAGTAAATTTCCATCCCTCCCTCGTAAAGAAGCATTACGTCCCACTTCTTGCAAACAGAGGTCAGGTCTCCTACAAAAAAAATGCTTGTTGGTAAATGCAAATAAATTACAGATAAATCGAGGTTCACTTTCAGGAGAAGAAGATGTTTTCTGATTCCTAATGAGATCTCTTTAGTGCTTTTTAGCAGTAACTGTGTCTGATGTGACTAGCTAACCTTACCGTGTCACTGTATATCAAAGATTAACTGGCCCTTTTCAGCAAAACATAAAAATTCAAAGAGCATCTCAGCCATGATGTGCGAAGCCAAACGTGTTCCACATGGATGCTCGTAAACCTTTAACCTGTCTTTTTGTTTATTTTTATTGGGGGCCAAGAATGCCAGGAACACTGTGTTCACTTGTAATGTTGTGAGTCTAAATAAATGAAAGCAAATATTCAGACTACAGGGGCCACGTAAGGGCTGTATGTTTTTCTTTCTTCTGCAGAGAATCACATCTGTCTCCCATTCTATTCACTTAAAAAGCAGCAGAAAGAACAGTTCACCGTGTGTTTTGAAGCTCTCATTCATCCGAGTGAATATTTAATATTTGGCATCTTGCTAATTTTAATTTTTCAATATCATCTCTGCGGAACCATGGAAACAGCAAACACTGTAGAAAGTGGTCCTCCATGTTTCCTTTTTAATGATTGTCTCTTGAAAAATGCATCATGAAAGGAAGAAGAGGAGAAGCACAAATAAGGTTTGAGAAGAGCTGGTGAGCCTCCAGAGGGGAAGAGATGGGAGAAAAGGGTGAAAAAAGAAGTGGGAGTGATGAAGCTAGAAACAAGGCAGCTGGATGCAGACAGAATATTACTTTTCTTTATCCAAACCTGACACTTGTTGCTGTTGGATTAGTTAAATGTGTAAAACCTGAGTGTGAAGAGGAAAGACCTAAAATTGTAAATTGAAACTGTATGTACTGTATACTGGTGTATGACACGCCTGACAACTGGATCATTAAAGCCAATTTCACAAAGGCCTGTGCCCCTCCCCCGGCTGAAAGGAGATGTCAAAGGTCTGTGACCTCTTCCATTTATGTGCATTGATCCTGCTACCGGGGGAGGGCTTCCTCCTCTAAGCCCTCCACCATCAGCTGTTATGTCTTAGTTTCACCTGCAGGAAACTGAGCAATTATATCTGTTTTTTTTATTTACTTCAGTACACATTTCTTCTCTCTTTACCAACCATTGTCACTACAGTACATACACGTAAACAGAAATTAGTACATAGTACTAGTAAAGGAGGGTTGTACGTATTCAGTAGCACACTATAAGGTTTGATGAACAAAAAATTAAGTGGGCATCAAAATCCAGAGCAATTTAATTTAAAACTTAGGCTACGTCCACATGTACCCGGGTATTTTTGAAAATGCAGGTTTTTCTATGCGTTTGTACCTTTCGTCCACACGTAAACGGCGTTTTTGGTCACTGAAAACTGAGATTTTTAAAAACTCCGGCCAGGGTGGATATTTTTGAAAACTCAGTTTTTGCATTTATGTGTGGACGAGAAAAACGGAGAAAACGCAGCATCAAAGGTGTGCGCATTTTTTGATGTCACACTGTGCGCTACGTTATTGTTTCGGTGAAATTAATTTCTACAATACTATTACTGTTAATTTTACTGTCTGCAGTGTTTAAATGCTTACATATACACACACAATTACTGTCCCTCCACACATACGACTGGTTCTGCTTCTATTAGTGGTGTGCGGATCGATACTGAAATATCGATTCTTCCGATACCAGCAATTTATGTTCTAGAATCGATTCTCATATTATAATATCAATATTTTAGTACTCTGGGGTAAATTTGTAGTTTTTCCATTAAAATGAACGCAGTGGAAAGAAACTATACAATTCGGATCGTCTAATTTGGAAGGAACTACTTCCTCTTACGCCTTTCATAGTCATATGCGGAATACGGCTGTATAAATGTGTGGCAGCCCCTGGCGTGCACACTCACAACAATGGCTGAGCGCAAACAGAGTCCTGTGTGGACACGTTGTTGTGGCAACACCACTGACCTCGTCAAACACCTCGGAGTAAATCACATCACAGAATATGATAAGCTTATGTTGAGGCGAACTGAAGAGGAGGACAGGGACAGGTGCTGCTAGGGCGAGACAGACGTCTCTCGCAGAGTCCTTTAGTGCTGCAGGCAGGCAACATGCTCAAATAGCGCACAACGTCAGTTTTTTTTATTTCTATATGATTATTCTGCATTATTAAGCAATAAAAACAAGTTGTCTGATGTCCTCTAATCATTTGAAAACGCATCGTTTTCTCTCCGTTTTGGCCTCCCGTCCACACTGAGACGGCCTTTTCCCCAGGGAAACACGCAGCGTTTTGAAAACTCTCTCAAAAACATACAAACATTCAAAACGGATCTGTCCCGTCGCAGTGTGGACACTCGAAAATGCAGACTTTCTAAAACGATGACGCATTTTAGTCATGTGATGCATTCATGTGACCAATTAAACAAAGATAGTGGAGTGCATTATACAGCAGTTGTTTTGATTGCTCTCAATTTTGACAGCCCTAAAAAAGATTAATATCAGTTTGTACATGCTCCAGATAGCTTTTGTTCAAGTTCTTTAATTCTCATTCGCTTTTGCGCATGCACAGTACTGGAACGTAAGCGTTTTCGGCCGTTTCAATGTGGACACACAACTCTGACAACGACTAAAAACACTAGTGTGGACATAGCCTTAGGCTGAACTTAATTTAACTCACCCCTTAAATAAAATGCAGATAATTAACTGTTTAACGTTATCCCCTCAGCCGACCATGAATTTGTGCTTCTGGGTGAGAGTCTGCTTCACACCTCAGTGTTTACGGCCTGCTCAGGAGCAAAGGGGAAACGGAAACGATGTAAGGATGAAATTCCTCTGAGCTGAAAGAATGCCCCCTTTTTTTTCTCTCTCTCAGTCCTAGAGTGATCTGGCTTTTTGGGATGGATGAAAGGAACTTATAGTCAAGAATGTAGGACATGTAAAATGTAGAGGTTAGTGATGGGATTTCCGGCTCTTTTTAGAGATCCGGCTCTTTCGGCTTGGCTCACTAAAAAGAGCCGGCTCTTTCAGCTCCGAACCGGCTCTTCAGGTTGTTTTGTTGCTTTAATTAATTTATCATTAACAATAATATAAAATTATGCAGAAAAGGAATTATTAATGTAAAAAAGTGGTTTTATTTATATATGTTTATATATGGCCCCTAGAGACAAAGCACGTACAAACTCCAAAACACATTTCTAGCGTTAACTGAACTTCCAAAACAGAGCTACTCAGATCACTTAAATTACACAATTGAAAGCATGTGTGTATTGTTTGTGTATTTATAGACAAGCACTCATATTTATTCAAATAATTTAAAAAAAAAAAAAAGTTCTTGTACCTCTTACTACCACACACCAAATCCGGTTGTTGATACTTCCTGGCTTGTGTAGCCACTGGGTAACAAAAGTTCAACACTGCGCCCTAGCATCCTGGAGCACTTCTGTTGTCTTTTGTACGTGATTCTGAGTTTGTACGTGCTTCTGAGTTTTTACGTGTTTTGGAGTTTGTACATGTAGGTTTGTGTTTGAGTTTGTACGTGCTTTGTCTCTAAGGGCCACCATAAATATACTTTATTTATTCACTCCACATAAAATGTAATAAATAAATCATATAATACAAAAAACAACTATTTACATTTTAAACTTTTAACTATTTAAATTTTCAGCTTTTTCCTTTTAAACAAATTTAAAGTGAAACAACACAAAACACTGCAAACCACAACACAATTAAATATAAATTAAAATATGAAAACAAAAAGAAGATGCACATTCTCTGTCATATGGGCCTGCATGAATAAACTTTCTGAATCCTTTATCATCTGCAACTGAAAATAGTGGATGATTACTATACCTTTCTAATGTGATGTTGTTGTCCCTTGCTCTTTTTCTCTCTGGCTCTGTTCCTGTGCTACTGCGAGTGTAACTAACGCCCCTCCCCCCTCTGCCCAGCGCAAAGTACAGGCCGCGCGTGCGGCGTTTAGCGGAAAAAAGGGCGAGAGAGAGGGTGAGAGAAAGGGGGGGAAAAAAAGGCTCGCGTCGTTCACTTCAAAGAGTCGGCTCTAAGAGCCATTTCGTTCGCGAACGACCCATCACTAGTAGAGGTGCAGCCAAAACGCTGGGCTGAACATCCTGTTCTTTGTTGCAAAAGGAGATCTATGATGCTAATCTTGGTGGTGTGTCTGTGTGTGTGTACATTTATGCATGAGTGCTACGCAACCACAGTAGACACCACTTCCTGTTGTCCTGTTATCTATGATTCTGACATGCAGGGCAGGCTCTTATCTGTCACTGCTGGATTTTGTGCTTGACTAACCAAATGACTTAGTGAACCTAATCCTTAGTTTATTTAAGCCTCCTGTTACCATGCTCAACCTCTATTCATACACTCCTTTTTGTGGTGCAGTTACAGAATATTATCATCCAGACTTTTATGCTCTTTTCATCTGCACATGAACCCCCAGAAATGAATGAAAATGAGCTGGTTGTGCCCTCGAGTCAATCGCCAGGAAGTGTGTCAGAGGTTCACCATGAAAGCGGGAGTTCATGCACGTGTTTGTGGGGGAGTGATGGCATGTCAAGGTGAAGGAGAGACTCTCGCTGAACTCTTGGAAAAAGAAATTAGGTTGTGTCTTGCAAATCACATCACAGTAGGATTGTGGCACGAAGTACAGACTCATGTCTACACTGTTCCTCCTTTTTTTTTTTTTAAGATCAATCTCTCAGATTTTTGTGGACTCCATTACAGCAATATGAACTCACGAAGCGCAAATTGTGCGTGTGTCTCCACTGAGAGCACTCAGTCATAATATATCCTCATTCTTGCCACTGAAACCTCGAAAGCATTCAGCGGAGAATCCCTTCTTGCACAGCAGTGTTATGGAACAGTGTGTTCTCACAGGGTGTACTGCTGTATTCCCTGCCCATGCACAGATGCCAGCTCCAGCGGTACAGTACCTGCAGACAGAAATTTCAGCCAGCAGCTTCATGTTCGTTTTAAAGAGCACAGCATGTGCTGTGCCACAGTCTGGATCACAGCACAATACTGTGAAGGAAAATTTATGGTTTTGCTTTCCAAATCCTCCAGATAAAATGATCTTATTGTGTTTTTGCTCATACCATCTTGAAGTAAGCCATTTAAGCATTCTTGAAACAATAAACTGGAGTGTTTCTAGTTTAAAGGGGCAATAAAGTAAGTGCTGGCAGCACAAGCATGTGACTTTAAAAAAGGGAGAGTTGTTGATGTCACTTGTTTTAAATCTTTTTTTTTTCTTTCTTGATTTACTTCATCTTTACAGACCAGTTTTACTTGGGCAGGATTAGTAAAAGATTAGACATTTTCACAACATCAACACGTTTGAAGGCTTGAGTTGCCTGAGTTATGACACTATTTTTCCAATTGGCCACATATTAAAATTTCCTGTCTAATAGTATGTTGGCCCAACTGCGTCCTGCTAAAATAGCATGGAAACATGATCTCTGGAGGTGCTTTTGGTGTCTGGCAAGGGACTTTGGCAGAAATCCACTCAGTAGGTTGTGGTCTGCATTTAAGACGCTGATTGGTGAGCCACAGCTGAGCCCAGCATCCTTGTGCAACACTTTCAATTTTACTTGACAATGCATAAGGAGCTTCAGTTTCTTGCTTCTGAACAACTTTTTGAACAGAACAACACTGTTTAAAAACTGCTTTTTTCCAGCAGCCATTAGTCAGATAAACATATCATAGCTTTGCTACATGTGTCTGTGTCTCTGCTGAAAATGTGAGTATAGATGACTCACTGCTGCAAAGTAAATCTACCTATGGGTACAAATAAAGTAACCTGAGCCTGAACCATTGCAATGAGATGAAAGAACAGCGGGTAGCTCTTCATGTTTGATTTGGCAGATTTTTTTGTTGTTGAATGTTCTTCCTGATAACAACCCCAAAAGGATTTGTATCTTCACCTGGGATCGAACCGGCTTTAGGCGATTGTCTAAAACACTATATTATGTCATAACTAAAGCAATTTCACTTCATCTGTCTGAATGTTCTGTTCACACAAGCAAGCAAAAGATTTTTTTTTTTTTAGCATTTACTGCTTTACATTTTGATTGGCATTGCAGCTTAGCTTTAAATTTTTCTTCTTATTACTCCCTCAGCTCCACCAAGCCCATTTAACACATACAGAAGTGCTCTGTTTTTGACTGCATGTCACATTTTATGTGACACAACAGCTTTAATTGCATACAGCATTGCATATGATCATTAGTGTGTCTCTTAACTGCAGTGTTAATGGGTTTGGGTGTAGTGCTGTTTTTTTCCCCTCCAGATGAGGAAATAAAACAATCAGAGTTAGTCTATAAAATGCAATCACCCGCATGTATCAGGAGAGAGCCGTTGGAGACAAAGGCCAGGGGTCGGGTGGTACTCTGAAAGCCACGCCCACTGCAACCGAGGCCCAAAAAGTAAATAAGATCGCTTAATATTAGCTGGCTCAAAAATGTGAGCTTTTGCTATGTTAGCAAGCACTGTTATACGGCTAATGTTGTTTAAAATGCTTTAACTCGATTGACAGACGTTCAGTAGGCTAAAACTGACCTGTTAATATTTATGACCAAGAAAAAAAATACTTCACACGCACACACACAGGCAGTGGGTTAGGTTGGTATAAGTTTTTCCTCTTGAAGTCTCAATTTTTCAGTTTAGCATGCTAAAAGTTTTTTAGTTATTTACCCAGGTTGTATTCAACTGCTCTACAACTTTCAGCCATTTGGTTTATTTTCAATTTATAACGAGAGGACGGAGTTGGAGTTGGATCAACAACAAAGGTAAAAGTATACCATGGCGTAGTGTACTGAAATGCTAAAAATGTGATTGAGTCGGGTAGCTAATGATGAGCTAGCTTCCTCTAATGCTAGCTGAAACTAGCATCACTCTTTACTGTTATTGTTGGTACAGTAACAGTAAAGAGTATCAAAAAAGACTGTTTTAACTCAGTTGTAACTGGTTCTTGTTTTTTATTTAGATTATAGGGCTTCTCCGAGGACTAATTTTTATCAAATAAGTTGTTCATATTTTAGTACTTTTGAGCCACTATGTTGTTTGTTGCTGCATTGTGAATTTCCTGTGTCCTCTTCCAAATTAAAAGCTCTGTAAGACAGAAGTCATTTCTGTCCCAGCAAGGCTTTTCTTGTGAAACAATTGCAGGAACCCTGTGTCAAAAAATTCAACCCAGTTTTAATATGAGAAAATGGGGTGTATGGAATTATTTATGGGTTTAACCAGCGGACCTTTGATGACTGATTACTAATTCACGTGTTATTCTGTCACCTTGTAAAATTAATGAGGGGGGTGAGAGGGCTTCAGAGAGGGAGAGAGTGATTATCCATCCCACAGGGATATTAGCAGAGTGAAGAGGACACTTTCGGGGAGGGCAGTGGGGCACAATCACAAAGTGTTTTCTCTATATTTCTGTATGCACACATTAGCGGAACAAGAGCCAAAAATAATGGGCTAAGGAAGTGCTGGGGTAATCAGTTTCCAGTCCTTTAAAACAAACCACAGATTCAGTTAAATGGTGTTAAAAACTTCTATATGTTTATGCTGAGGTCACAGAGACTGAGGACTTTGTGAACTGTCCATTAGCATAGTCTAATAAATAATTTGTCATTTATAGTTGGTTAATGTTTCTAGCCTGGCCATCCAACCATGTGCATGCGTGTGTGTCTTAGGTGCACTGCAGAACTAAAGCATATACCAGCTCGCTGTTCAGCACTCGCGCACATTTTCAGCTCGAGTGTAGCCAGAAATAAAACATGCAGACATTCACCAGACTATTTTATAAGTAGATCTGTGCATTCACTTTAACACCAAAACATGTTTTACACAAACACATACACATAAAGTGGATTTTCTTAGCCTTGCTGAACTTTATACATATTTTTTTAATCTAAGTCTGAGTGGGTTTGGAGGTTTTGTGTAAGGTCTTTCTTGTGATTGTTAAGACTGATTGTGGAATAGAAAACTAATTGACCATCACCAATTTGCTGGCTCCTCACTGCAGTGATGTACACATTCACCTCGTCTTTTCTGCGAGGTGGCACAGTTGCTTTTAGGGTTGGGTCAGGACGAGCACCAAATCAAACACCAATCAGATCTCTTGTGAATAAGAGAACAGCTAAAAGTAGCATTTAATTTAATTTTAATAATCCAGCTGTGAAAATTGTAGCTGTGTGAATAATCTTTACTTATGGGTTTGGGCTGATCAATCATGACATTATTTTTGCTCCAATTGACATCTGAAAATCATTTTAACAACCCATTTGGTGTAATCTCTCTTAGATGTTGGAGTTGCAACACTGATGCACATTTCTTTCTTTTTTTTCTATGTGTATAATTTGTGTATAATTGTTAATGTGAGAGAACTTGATGTATGCTAACAGCAGCTGGAAACACTCAAGCTTTCAGCCAGATTTCCCGCGTCACCTTGGCAGCATCTTTGCCTTAGCCCATAGATGCTTTTCCAAAAAATGCTGCTGCCCACGCACACATAACCTTAATTACACAAACACGACCCCAAACAGGACATTACTCACTCATTCTCTCTCCCTTTTCATATTGAAATACAAGGTCAGTGAGCGTTCCTGCAGCCAGGATTGTGGGGGAGAGGGCTGACTGTAGCAGAATGCTATACCATTGGCTGTTGCAGCCCGTCCAAGGCTAAGGTGACCAAGACCCAGCCATGTGCTGCGAGGACTCAGCGTTCCTCTGTGGCGGTGGAGGTCATTCTGTCTCGCTCTCACTCTCTGTAGCACCCTCGCTCTCTCTTCTCCATTATCTGTGCGAGGCACAATTTCAGCTTGAGTGCAGCCAGAAATAAAACATGCAGACATTCAACAGACTATTTTATAAGTAGATCTGTGCATTCGCTTTAACACAAAAACATGTTTTAGAGACTTTTTATTACATTTTCATCCCTATTCAAAGAAAAACTTTTCCCAAAGCATGCTGATCATAATAATTTTAAGGGATTTAAAGAAATGTTTTTGGGGGGGTTTTCCTTTAATTTGTCATGTCAGAATTTTTTTACAAAACACTTGCAGCATATCAGGCTTTGATTTAGAAAAGTACAAAATACCTGACTATTAAATTCAGTTTTATTTATACAGTGTCAAATAAGAACAATAGTCGCCTCAAGATGCCTTATATTGTAATATAAACCCTACAATAATACTATATGTTTACCTATAATGACTATATCAGAGCAAAGGGGAATTCTAAAACTACATTTAGCTGTGCTTGTAGTGCAATTGAGGCGTGTATTGTCTACAGTAGAAAGTTTTAAAATTCATTCAGATTGTCTTTATGTAGTTCTTTTACTGACAAGGTTGATTTCATGAATGATTGTAAAACCTTTTTTTTTTTTATTTTTTAAATCTCACATACCAAAGTTACTAAGAGGCTCTTGGCTGGTTAAATGTCTCCTCTGGTGGAGGGACCCTGGGCAGGATGAAGTGATAACAGCTCTGAATAGGTTTACTGTCACTTTTTCAAATCGGCACGGTTTGTGTGCAGGGTCAAGCCCCAAACAAAGGCTGGACTGCTTCCATTGTCCGATTAAGACAAAAAGAGTCCTGCTGATGCTGCGGCTCTTGCTGCTGTAAGGACGACTGATGGGATTTAAGTGTGTGTCCCGTCACCGAGGGCAACCTGGTGCCTATTAATCGGGAGGGTGGTGGAGAATGGAGGAGATGTGGCGAGAGAGTGAGGGGGTAACGGGGGTGGGGTGCTGCCGATGCAGCAGTTCCGCCTGGGGTCAGGAAGAGGGGTATGATGGATACAGCTGATCGCCCTGTAAGGAAGTTTAGAGGGAAAGAGGAGGAGGCTCTTTCTCCAGGACATTAAGAAGCCTCTTTGTCATGCTGTCAGTCAAATAGATTCAAGGTGGCCGAGATCTTTTTCAGGAAGGAAAAGAAAGGAGAGGTCCCATTGTGAAAAGTGGATCTCTTTGGATGCCTGATAAACACAACAGACCTCTTTCTTATGTGCTCTCCATGAGTGTGTGCTGAAATTAAGTCAGTGTGTTGGATGTGTGAACCTTTGAGAGAGTGAGTTGTCCTTAAAGGGGGGGAAAGGTTTAAAGATAGATTTAGTGGAGTGCTAATAATTATTTTCATTATTATTTAACCTGCCAGTTGTCTTCATTATTATCATTATCTGTCAATACAAGAACATGGATTCGGTCTTTTAAACCTCAAACAGCCGTCTTATTTTGAATTTAACAGTTTAACATATTTAAATAGTCGAGGAACTGAAGCATCACAGCTGAGAAACTCTAACTAGAACTTTGAGTCTTGTAAAATTAGTTAGTTGATTAATTATCAGAAATGTTGACAATTAATTTCTTTTCATTATTTACTTTATCAATCGTCAAGATGAATTTGGGTAGATTTATACCTAGTACAAATTTTTCAGCAGTTCATTTGGAAAAAAGATGATGACCTCTGTTTAAAATAATAATAATTAATGAATTAAATGTAAAAAATAGTTTTTGAGAATTCAAAGAACAAGAAGCAGGATTGTGACTTTTTTTCTCATAAATATCACTTTTAGAATTGTAAAAAGTTAGAATTGAGAATAAAGTACAAATTATGAGGATAAATTTAACTGAAAAAGTCTGAATTCCTGGGTTAAAGTTAGAACTTTGTATCAGTTAATGCTGACTTTTTTTGGTTTGTTTTTTGTCTTAGAATCCCAAGGGGGTCATGACCCCCAAATTTTTTTTTTCCAGTGGCTCTTATTCTCTTCTGTACATTTCAGTTTCAGTAGTTACAACAAATTCATTCCCACAACTTGAAACTACATCCTACATCATTCTACAACATATGCATGTACCTGTAGACTATACTTTGGAAAATTAAAGTTGTGGGAATGAATTTGTTGTAAAACAATACTCGGCCCTTTCCAGTGATCACCTCTGAAGTCTCTCACATCTTCAGCACCTCCATTTGACTGATGTTTGGTCTGCGTGGAGGATGGAGGGCAGCCCAGGCCAGCTCCTGGAACTGGAACATGACCCCTTTGCTGGTTTGTCATCTGATAAGCGTAAATGTTTTGATAGCGTTGGCCCTTTCACCATGATCCATGGATCTCCCTTTACACTCCATAACAAACAGGGCTGTCTAAACAGCACTTTATAGCCAGGACAAGGCCTGGTCAACCATTATCAAAGATCTAATCTCAAATGAGCCATTGGGTTCAGACCAGATGTTAGAAGTAGCTGTGAAAATGGTAGAGGCTCAATTGGATGAAATAAAGGCCAGTCATGGAATATGGATATTTACATGAATTTGACTATAAAAAGCTTTTATTTTCTCTCTTTTATGCAAGGTCAGGAATGATTGACTTGTTTCCAGTCCTGGAGTAAAAAAATGATGTTTTAGAGAATGTATTATAACCACTTTAAATTCAAAGCAACAAATCTTTGTCTCCTTCGTCCTCTTGCCCTTTAGCATTGACCGGTGTTTGACTGCTGCCAGTGACAGCTTTACAGTATGCAATAGAACTTATTGTTGCCTTATTCAATATGGCTTCCCTGAATAAGTCTATAAATGTATTAGGGTCCTGTGTCTCTCTCCCTGTTGTTTCAGCTTAGGTGAACTGGCGTTCAACCCAGCAGTGTTGTAAAATGCAGATTGGGTTCACTAGCAGGCCTCCTGTTTTATTACACAGTCATGGACAGCATTGTAAATTTTCGCTTGTCCTTCACTTTCATTCGATTATGCTAGCTGGGAAAATCTTCTGCTACATAATCTAGAGGGTGGCAGAT